ATCTAAATTTTGAGTGTGTTTGATATCAATTTGTCGAGACATAATTTTGTCATTAATAATCTGAATAGAGTCCGAGAGCTTTAGCTCGAGGACTCTATTCTTCGATTATTAATGATAAAATTATGTCGAGACAAATTGCAAATACACGAAAAATTTAGTAACGATAAAAATAGGTGCTAATTTATTAAGGTCGAGTTATATTTTATAAGTTCTAGAGCCCTAAATGTAGCTTAAATTAATAAATACACAGTAAATAACTTTTATTTTCGGTTCATTTTGAAACGTTTCACGAGATATTAGCTTGTACTCTGAAATAAATATATTTGACAGTAGCTGTCAACGCAGGTGAATATCCAAGCACCATGCATGGATAGTCGATTTGAAATAGTCAGTGAAAATAGTCGATTTATTTGATTCTGATTGGTTCTAACGCGATAACGTAAATTGCGATGTGATTTGTTAAAATGTCAAAGTTGACAGGCGAGAGAAATAATCAAGGCTAAAATAATAACATAATAGCCTAAAAAATAGGTACACTAAAAGAATGATAAAGTCAAAGAGTTGAAAATTATTTAATAGGTACATCAGTACTTCGGAGATAAACTGTGCTGTCATTCTAATCAGCAGTAGAGCAAACTGAATGTTGGTTGAACACTTTTCATGTTCCATATTTACATACAATAATTATATTTCGACAAAAAATTCAGTTGGTCCCAATTATTGTCACAATATGTATTGTTTACTATTAATCTAACTATTCAAACTTTTTTTTAACATACATGAATTGTTGGTTTGTGTAACATATTTCTATGTTCTGATAACAAATTTTTTATGGCATACCTAGTGTCTTTTACCTCCAACATGCCTCTGTAAATAGTACGACTAACGTAAGAGTTAAATAGTGTTGTTTAACGTTTAACTTGCAAGTTTATGAAACATTGAACATAGCGTTTTTTAATCATCTTTTTTTTTAATCAACTTATATTGTGACCTATACATGGTATATAATACCCTGAAAAGGCCTCGATGAGCCGATTTTAAAAATATAACCTATATAAAACCGCACTATGTCTTCATAGTTTACCTCCCAGATATATATCGGTACATATTTAATTTAGTCTTCATGATATAGGTACGTACCTAACATAGACACAACTATTAAGTTTCTTGAATTAATTTAGGCCAGTGCAATATTTATACTTTATATCTTCTTTAAAAAAACTGTAAGTTTATAAAATTCTCAGTGCTATATCAGTCTCGACACTGTTTATCAGTACCTCTAGGGCATTTTTCTATGACTTCTACAAAATAAACAATTATTCATATTAAATTGTACTACAGTCAAGAAATTACCCTTGTTTAAGGGTCGATCTTTTCACCTCTGAGTAAAGTTACATGTAAGTTTACTTGACAGATTAACAAATAATATCCCTATAGTTTAATCAGCAAGTAGTTTGGTGAAAAAATGGCCCTTAATAAAATATAATATTTCTCTTGTTTTAATCTGACAGGTTAAAACGACTAAACCGACAATTCCGGAAGCAGAAGCGGATGATTAAAACGCACCTGATATTTTGCTTGCTGCTGTCAGTGTCAGTGAATATTATTTTTGGAGTCACAGTTTATTGCTAAAGAATCAGTTAGCTCACTCGGACCAGTTGAAAGTTCCAAAATAACATCCACTCCAGGGATACAAATTCAGGATACGCAGAAGACTGCTGTTTTATTATAGGCGGTTGTCATATATTGTATTATACGAGTTGTGCAGTGTATAAACTGGAACATTGAGATCAAAAGTGCCGACGCAGAGTGAGCGAACTGATTCTTTAGCTATAAACTGTGGTAAAGGCATCAAAATGGCCGCACCCTATGTTGGGCGTGTCAGACCTCTCTCTTGCACCGTATAGTAAAGAAAATAAAAATCAAAGTATGTGGTTCTCAATGAAACGTTTCAAAAACAGATTCAGCTGGTTTAAACCTATTTTAATGTGACGTCATTGTTTGGTCACTCGAATGGGAATAGTTCAAACCTTTTTTGAACCGCATGAAATATATTTAAACCAGTAGACCGCTCGAATATGGCTTTAGTTTCTTGAATTAATTTATGCCAGTGCAATATTTATTTTTTATATAGTCTTTAAAAAAAACTAATGTAAGTTTATCCTCCATTTTTTTGTAGATGCGATAACATCATTTGAGTAAAATCCTCACCGCTACATCAATCTGACAGTGTTTATCAGTACCTCTAGTATTCATTAGAGACAAGCTACAAAATAAAACAATTATTCATATAAAATTGTACTACGGTCAAGAAATTATCCTTGTTCAAATAAAATATATAATAAAATTATCATACTTTTGAATTATCTTCTGGTACAATGTACAATGATTTTTCTTGACTAGCAACTTCAGTCTAAGATCTGTTTAAAGTTATGTACTTTATATCATTGCCAGTCATCGCGTAATTTGGATGGTTTTCCTAAAAAAGCGACCGTTTTAAATAAAATTCATAATAAAGTTGCTATAGTTTACCCAACAGGCACGGACATAATTAAATGTTGTCTCTGTGAAATATCTTCTGATGATATTGTATCCATTTAAGTAGTTTTCTGTTTTTGAAACTTCGTTTACGTCTTTTGTAGGAAATTCAAATTTTTAGCTCACTGCATAGTACAGTTGGGTACATAACCTCATGACTATTTTGTAGAAGTCATAGATACTGGAACAAAAAAAAAACAAAATATAAATTACAGTCGTTAAACTAATATTATAGTATAAAATTTGTAAATAAACATTATAACCTCAAAAATACTTTCATTCCTAAAATAATAAAAAATGTTTTACCTTGGAGAACAATCGTTTGAATTGACACGCATTCTTTCGATTTATTAATTTTTAAACAAACACAATTAATGAAGATTTATAAATCTAGTTATAAATGTCGTAGTTTGCTCACTCGGACCAGTTGAAAGTTCCAAAATAACATCCAGGGATACAAATTCAAAGTATGTGTCATAATCACGAATATATAACGAAAAAAAATTGCGGCGTATTGACGTCACATTGATGATGTCTCTGAGACGTCATTTTTAGGTAATCTGACGTCCGGGACTAATTATCATCAAAAAAATGACGTCGCAGTGACGTCGGTGTGCTTACTGGGTATTCTACAATAATTCTACAGTTTACAGGTCTCACATCATACTAGACCGAAAAGGAGTTAATGTTTAAGAAAAGGCTTACGTTTAATTCGTATTATAGTGTTTTGAAAAATGACGTGCGTAAAACATTTATTTATTTATTTTTTAACGCGCAATATAAGCAATCAATACTTTCACTTTATTTATCATGTAGTGATTTAAAATTCAAATGAAGGTTACTAATATTATTTTTTTTTTAACCTTTTCTGGATTTTGTTTTAAATTTACATCAACTGTAACTATAAATAAATTTATATTATGAGATTATGAACATACTATTATTATATTAGATTCTTTTAAATTTTAATTATTGTGCGTATTAATTTCTGACAAGAACTGTTATCATTTGCGGCTCGTGTTTAAAGACATTAGGTGTTCTGCAAGATTCTCTCCCCCACCCCTCCCCCATAAAAAAAGCAATTATTTTTTACAGCTTTTATTCACCTGCTTTTTATATATTAATTATATTCTGCGTTCCTTTTTATTAGCAAATTTATGCGCGTATTTAAATATCCCTTTTCGTTTATTAATGTCTTTCATGTACAATGGAAACACGCGCTGGCTAAGTGACACCAACTAATGATTTACAAAACCGAAATCGAATCACATCACATATGCAATAGACTATAAACAAAGCTCGTCGGTACTTCTTATTGCCACTAGTCGTAATCTGTCACCCCTTACTGTTAAAAAGTCGGTAGAGAATTGTTCTACGGTCTTTAACATTTACTCGAGCTGGTTTTTGGTAGCTCCCATAAGTTTTAGGTCATCTATGAAGTGGGATTCAGTTGGTGGGATAGAGGATTCATCGCAATACAAAGCCTTAGCGGGCGCAGAGAGTATCCTTGAAATATATCTCTTCTTATAGGACTATTTTCAGTGCTCGTTGTGATATATTCTGGTTTTCCAGGATCTCATGGCATGCATCAGCAGAGTTTCTTTAGCCAGTAATTCTGCACTCCATCTTGACCAGGTGCTTTCCAATTATGGGTCTCCCTTATCTTGTTAGTAATCTCGTCTGTCCTAAATGGCTCGTGAGGCATTTGGAAGTATTCTTGGAAATTCATACGCTCTTCAGCAATCCAAAACGTTTCAACCCTTTTCACTGCTTGGGTAATTGTTGTTCAGTCCTCTAGCATTTAATTTTAGTGTTCTATAAAAGGTTTTTTCCGATCGGTGAAATAAGGCATTTCCTTATTTTCTTTTATTGCTGGTTTGGTATCTCTTTAAACGTTCTGAAAATACACGTTTTGTTTTAACGTATCAAATCATTGCTGGTGTGTGAGGTTCTCTGGGTCATCAGGGGCGTGAACTCGATATAATAATTGATCGGACGCAGGTCTCTAGCCTATGGGATCTTACTCCATCGATATACACCTTTAGCCTTCCTATATATCTTGGAAGGCTGTCAATTTTTGCATTTAATCTTCTCTCTCAATGCGGTGTTTGTGTCTTGTCCCCTGCTTGCACGCTTCCCCTTATTCGCACTTTGCTTCCCAGTGTGAGAGCAAAGCGGTCTAAAGTATTCGCCTCTGTGATGTAGTCCTGCAGAATTTAGTTATTCATCATAGTAAAGGCAATTCCTAGTTTCCTTGAGGAGTTTACTCTAGCTAGCGGTTGTCTGCTTAACGGGTCGGTGCCGTCGTACTCCGTATTTAGTTTTCTTTTCTCTAAGAGCATTATTTCGAATGATTCCTCGTTTTCCAGTAATTAACCTGAGCTTTAAGAAAAACATCTTCTAATGCAAATATAGTAGTGATATAATAAAAAATTATTTAAAGTCAACGATACTTTTCATTTTAAGTGTTAAGCTCAATTATATCTTAGAAACGTTGTCCTAATGTTCTCTTTTTTGTTTCAGACGGACAAAGACAGTGCTGGATTATGGTTGACCGCTAGTGAAGCAAGTAGTTTAGGTTATGAAGAAGTTTCTGAGAGATTACGAGTAGATATTAGTAAAGGTTTAAATTGGCAAGAAGCAACAGAAAGGCGGAAAGTATCTGGGTAAGTATTTCCATTTTCTGGTTGTCAGTAACCTAATCGATTATCAATATTTTATAACATGTAGGATGTTATCTTTTGCTTTATTTCTTATAACGTTCAATTCACAATTATTATGTGATCGATTAATATAAACCTTTGATTGTAAATACCCCCATAAAAATAAATAAAGTGGAGTCAGATCTGGTGTCTGACGTCAGATACTGGTGTTCAATAATTCTATTTGGAAATTGTGGCCCCTCCCTGAAATTAGTCATTAACTGAAGAACAAACACATTTTACTAAGAAGTGTTGCCATTCTTCAGCGGCTTTTATTCATTCTTCTAAACATTCCTCGATTAGTTCGCCACAAGTCAGACCAATTGTATTACTCCAACAGAGATACATACTGGGTTCAGCTCACGATGAATGACAATTATTATAGGTGTTTCAACTTCCCTTAAATCCCATAGAAAACCAGAAGGCAATATGGCACCAAACAGAACGTAGTTCCAAAAAAAATCCACCAAATGTCGTTAGAAGGTGAGGTACCCGTTTGACCACTATTCGCTGTCTGCATTTGGCTTGGAGTGGATAGATTGAGCTATCGCAGCGCCCATGGTGGTAGGAGTCGGCGATTGTCCACATCATCGTAGTAGCGCGGCAGCGTGTTGTGGGTCTCGTGTTGGGTATTAAAATGAGTCGAACTATTTCCGTAAACGCAATTACAAGAAACTGACAGAATTCGCCGAGTTGCATCAAGCTGAAATAATATTAAAAAACATGCGATTATTTTTATTATTGTCAATAATAAATGGATTTCAACACAATTTTTATCTTACATGCAATTCTACAAGATATTCTTTTTTCGTGACAGACGTTTGTCTAATGACACCAGCTCGGATAAAAAGGCCAACACCTGACTCTCTGTGCTCTTCGACATTTATGACATGCCCAGCTTCTACCAAATCTTTACCTTTTCTTGGCGTTTCAGGATGAAAGTTTATGTCATGAGATATTTTCTCAAATCCAGTGTACAAGATGACACTCATGACAAAAATGTAGCATCTAAAAATACAGACAAATTACATTGATTTATGACATTCAAAACGCAGATACTTCGTATGCATAAACTCCAAATATTTTTATGTCATTTACTTACTTTTTGTGCGACAGAAACAATTTTTGTTGTCTATCAACTAACAGCGAACACAAAACTTGTTGCAACACTTAATTGTTGAAAAAGAATTTTCAAGTTCAACTGTTGAGTGTGAGGTGTATAGCAAGTATGCGGGAATGAATGAGGAGAACTGTCGCTATCCCGTCACCAGAGAGCGCTACCAGTCTTGCACACAGCGAATAAGAACTAGATAAAGCATGATTTAACATCAACATGTATCCAACTTTCTGACCATTACATAATTTGACAGGTTATTAATGATAGTAATGTTCACGACGCATGACAGTTATTGTAGGTGTATATAAAAACTAAAAGTATGTATCTAAAATAAGGAAAGTTCTAAAAAAAATCCGCCAAAGGTCCTTAGGCCCATATTTATAAGATGAGTCAGCTGAGTCGTCCTTGAAATAAAATCTAAATTCGGTTATATCGCGTGAATTTAAAGATGGGTAGTAACAATAAGACCGTAAATATACTTAACAGTTATGGATTTGCTAATGTCAATCTCTAAATTCTAGTGCAAGACTGGAACTCGTGAGAAGTTATGACCGAACTTAGTAAATGATTTGCCCTCACTTTGTTTTGATGAAATATGGGTTATTATTATAGATGTATGTGGTAGTATTTTTCTTCTCGTTGTGTTCACTTTTCATTTCGTTTTACTTGATAAAGTTAATATTTTTCAGTCACTTCGCCGTTATTAAAGAGTTACTGCAAGTTCACTTAAGGTCAGTCAATATTAGCGCCACTGTTATTTTGACATCTGAGCTTGCGCAGATCGTTTAGGTTCTAGAACTGACTTTATTAAAGATTGTGCCTGCCTTTAATTGTGGATATTTAAGGGCAGCAGTTAGTGGCGACTTTATACCTTTCGGGTGCGCTAGGCGACATTCCTATCAGTTCGAAGTTTTTTTAATATTAAATATTTAATATCATCGTCATCTAAACCGTCTAAGATGATAATTTCTAATGCCTCTTCCATATTATGTACTATTATAGACAACAAAAAAGATGAACTGTAGTTTAAAATGATGTTAGAAATATGTTTAAGGACAAGGACTCTAATATCAAAACTTCAGGCTTGCATTAAGTCTTATTTTAGCATGGAATTTATTTGCCACTAATTAAGTTTTCACTGTTAGTTGCTGACGTTATAGAAATTTGCAATATCTCTCTAATATTTGTTTTTATTTGCGGTACCTCACCCTCTACCGACCTCTGGTGGATTTTTTAGTACTATGCACAATTTTATGCAATATTTTAAAGAGTTGAAACACCTGTAAAATGTCATTCATCGTGGTTCAGCTTCAAATTATTCTTTGAAACGATCGATACAAGCATTCATCGATACTCAAATACATTTTTCTTCTTGTGCATTCGGCCATTGTTCTAACCAGTAAAATTAATGTTTTAAAGATGCAGATATCTTTAGTATATATATTTTTTCTAGTTATAATGAATTCTCGGTAAAAAACGGCGACCCACCATGGAAGAAGTACTTAGAACAATTCAAGAACCCTCTAATATTACTGCTGCTGGCCTCGGCAGTAGTATCGGCGGGGATGAGCCAATTCGACGATGCGATCAGTATTACAGTAGCCATAGTTATAGTCGTTACCGTTGCCTTCGTGCAAGAATATCGATCTGAAAAATCCTTGCAGGAATTGACGAAGTTGGTACCGCCGTCATGTCATTGGTAAGTAAAATATTTATTAATTACTGTAAACATAATACCAGGGTTGATCCTCATTCTCTACCTCTATAGGATTTAAATTTTTGATGGTTTGACACAGCGTATTTGTAAAGTATTATTGGCCGTATTCATTGTCGTGAAACGTGTTTTAAGAATCATAGAACACTTTTCATAATCGGTTGAGCTGACACTGAACGATCGTTTTGTTTACGCTTTGTTTTCTTAACCTCAATTTTTTTTTATTATTTTTTTTTTGTGTCATCGGCATCAACTGCTATTATTATAGGCAAATAATTAACAATTAGTGCCGTGTGTACCTTATGTTTCAGGCAGTTGCCCCCCTGGCTTTTACGACTTTACAACGCGTAATAGCTATATGTCACGATATTAAATTAAGTACTAAAATTCAGTCCTAAATTAAGTTATTTAGTACTAAAAGAACTAAAAATATTTTTTCCTTTTGCAACGATACCAATTTTTAGTACTAAATTTAATATAGGCGCATGCGCATTGGCATATTATTATGTGAAATTAGCATCTAAATGCCACGAATTACGGAAAACAATCTCATAGAAATAATGTTCAGGCTAACACAGTTGATAAATTGAATATATTTATTCCATATCCATATCTTACACCAGCCCCGGGGCTCCGCGGAGTACACTTTGGGAAACACTGTCTTACACGAACCTATACATTTTAATTTTTATTAAAAAAGTAGGTAAAAACAAAACAAAAAGCATCCGTAGTTGGTGTATTGTAAATTGTAAAAATACTAGCAGAAAAAACGGTGTAAATTATATAAATTGTCAATAGCGAAATGGAAATTAAATCAAAAAAATAAATGGATAGTACAATAAGAAGAAAAATACCTTTATTTTTGTAATAATAACAATAATACTCATAGGTTTTAAATAAACAATAAATTATTATTTTACAATATTGTTCAATATCCCTTGACTCTCAAATGTTCATCAAAGACTAGATTTCCGCCTTTGATTATTGTATGTGGCTGAAATGCAATCTTATTGATAGGAAACCAATTTTAATAATTAATTTCTATGGATTCTTTCGAACTAAAAATGAAGAAAATATACCAATTATTTTTGTTAATACGTTTTGATAATACGTCATTATATAATGGTAATGTTTCTATTTTTACATTATTTAACATATTCTGCAATGACAACTTATTAAGCTTAGGCAACATAAATAGTGTTGCCTGTCTATGTTTTATTATTGGTTTTTATTGATTATACTACTTTTTTTAGTAATAAAAATATATAATAATAATTAATTTTTTCACTTGTTTTACAAATCCATATACTTTTATTAAAATCAACATATATATTTTTTAATTACGAATTCTGTTAAAAATTGTATTGTCAGTATACGCAAATATCGTCCGTTAGTTCATAAATTAGTTCGCGCTGCTGTCACGCTCAGAACGAATAATGAATGAAAATAGGCTGACTGGTCTTTGTTATCTGTTATCGATTATTTTTGGTAGAGGAGGAAGAAATTAAAAATTTGCGTTTTCCTTGTGTTCGTCGACGTTTTTGAGTGAGTTTTTGTGTTTCTATAAATATATTTTTTTTATTAATATTATTATTATTATTATGTATTCTTCTCATATTTTTCTTTTATATCACACCTTCTGTTTGTTTTTTAAGAATATGTGTTTTAGTTTTTGTCTTTTTTGTTGTTTTATTTATTAGAAACTTGTTAATTTGTATTGCTCTTTTATTTTTCACAGTGTCTAGGTACACGCTAACTTGTACGCAATTCAAAAATTTATATACATGCGAAACGTCTTGACAGAGTAGGTGAGCTATGTGCAGGCCGTTGGTGTTTACGCCAGTCGTAGCTAGGTATGGATTGAAATCTTTTTGTGGCGGCGAAGCCGCCACCCTACGTGAAGTCGTTACGTTTTCTTGTTGTCACGGCATTATTATTATTTGTTCATGTATGTGAAATTTGCTTCTAAGGTTTATAAAATACTACTGTGCTAGTCACGGCGTAAATAAAAAGACGCATTCACACAAACACCTCCCACCACAGCAATATGACGTTTCGCGTGTATATAATTTTTTGATTTGTGTACACTTTAGCGTGTACCTAGCAACAGCGTTTATTTTTCATTTTCTTTATTTTTCAACAAATAAACATTCTAAATTTTTTCAAAATTTTGCCCCTCCCTATAGAATTGTGTAACGACGCCCATGTCTATTTGCGCTTTTATGATTATTCATCATGATTTTAAAAGCAGGGAAGTGATTAACAATTTTTTGAGCATTCTTTGCTTGAACTAATAAATAAATATTGTAATTATTAATAAAAAAAATAATATTGATGCTTTCGATTCTTTATTTTTCCTATTTTTAATATGGAATATTATTAAAAGTCTTAAACAATATTAAATACAGTATATTTGAGAGAAGATATCTGACAATATGTGAATATTTTCTCGTCAGGATTAATATGAAATACAATAGAAAGTTTCTAGACACTTTAAAACACACTACCCACAACAATTTTGGGTTTTCTTATGCTTAATTTTTTTTTTATTTTATGCTTTAAAATGTGTTTTCCAGACTCAACCATGCAAAAATGGGAATTGAATCATTTTAATTCACTTCTAGAGGTAGACACGGTTAAATAATATTAGACTATCCATAGAACAAAAAACAATACAAAATTCATTCGTAAACGTTTATAATTCTTTAGTTTTCTTCTTCAAACTTTTGAAATAAATATAGAAAGTGTTATTGATAATACCAGTTTAGTGTGATGTCATTTTGGTTAAACTGACATTTAATTCTAACCAAACTTATAACAAAAACATCAATAAATTTGACATATACGTTTTTACTGTTTAAAAGTTTTTGTCTAAATATTGTTTGCAGGTCATACAAAATGGTTTAAAAGTATGTTATTGGTAACTAAACAATTGTATATTTGATGCATGTTATCAACTTACTTTAGGAATATATTTATAAAAATAAAAAACGATATAATCTAGGTAAACAAAACGAACAAAACGCACTCAAAAAATCTACTGTCACTTTAATTGTCAGTGAAATCATAATTACATCATCGCGTACAAATGGCGTTTATGACACAGTTGTCATTTCTATAAATGCGATATTGTCAAATATAGTAAGAAAAATTATATCACAGGAAATAGGCACTGATCTGTATTATTTTACTGGATAGGATATAGGCTATATTTGACATACTAAAAATCCGTTTCATCATTGAGACCGGAAGTGCAACATTGCTGGCCGATTTGGGCAAATTATAGCGGGATAATTTGACATATCTAACCTATAATTTGATTAGTTCTTCTTCTATTCATTTCGCAGATAATGTCCTTCGGGACAATTCACCCATAATTTGATTTTTTATGAAAGAAAATATAGAAATGAAAACGTGAAGCATATTGTGTCTTCATTAATGAACGTTTATTGTTTATATCATAGTAATGCTATCCGATACTATCTACATAAATAACAGATAAATGATCAGTTATAAAGTACCTATAGTGGAACTACATAGATGGTCGAATCATTTTAGAGAACAAGTATGAAACGAGAATCGGTGAGTTTGCCATTGTTACAATAGAACCAGGAAGAACAGGGATATAAATGGTAAAAAGATGTAAAAAATCTAAACAATACCTGTGAAAATGTTTACCTGATAGAACAATATGGATACATGCAACTAAAGCGATTAGAATTGGAACTGAGCTAGTGGTGTTTTCAGACACATGATTTACATTAAGAGTTGCAAGATAATGTAGGTAGGTAGTTAGTTTATAATTGCAAAGTTAATTTTAACAATATAGATGTTGAAATATATTTTAAATTACCTACACTTGTCTAGGAAAGCTAACAAAATTTACTAACTAACTAACTTTTCCAAGTTTAATACGTGTTGTCTCTCTAACCATTTTTACACTATACAAACCAAACCACATTGAAATTTGTGCAACTCATAAATATATGTATTCAAAAATTGTTCTAGGAAAATACTGTTATAACTTAAATTTTGTGTAGAATATTCCAATATAATTTACAATTAAATAAAGAACAAATTAAAGGCTTTACATAATTTTTACAAAAGGAAATCATGAGAAAAGGTGAAAAAATAAACATTTATATTTCTTGTAATATTTTTATTAATGTAAAAAGGATATAAAGTAATAATTTTAAAAGCATTACCAACCGTCTTCGTTTGTGTTTTATCAATGCAGGATACCTCAAAATGGTCTGAACATAATCGCATTTCTGCACTTACAACATTAAAATTGTTCATCATATAGGTACATACTCTTCACCCATTTCCCCAAAAGCTCCAATTTTGTAGGAAACCTAAAATAACAAGAACATTATTTAATTTAGTAATAGTTCACTTCAATTTTCTCATTTTATCGGTATATTAATGTGTAACATAGTAATTGTTTCAATTTGTTTCGACAAAATAGTTAGATCTATTAACAAATTTTTATAAATATAATAGTTATATTTACCATGAAGAGTACGGATACTCTTTTTACTTCGTTTTCCACAATAAAAACACGTCTTCATCGTAACTTCTTGACACAATTAAATGACAAATGAAAATAGAGGTTATGATAAATAACATCCGGTCCGCCATATTATTTGCCCAAATCGGCCAATTTTTCGGAACGTTTTTTAGGTGGGCTATATCCTATCCAGTAAAACTGTACTATGTTATATATGAACATTTGAAAAAAATGAATCAAGATATTTAAAAAAAAAAAAAAAAAAAATACAGATATAATATTAAAAAAAAAAATAATAATAAAAACAAAACAACAAAAAAAAAAGAAAAACAAAAAAAAAAAGAAAAAAAAAAAACAAAAAATATATATATATAAAAAAAAAGAATTCGTCGCCTAAAATATAATTATGTATAATTAATTGTATCACAACTGTTTTAACTGTTGTTTAATTGTTAATATGATGAAAATTTTGTACTTTTAATAGATTTTAGGTTCCTTCATTATTAATTATTGTATTGTTGTAATTTGTGAAAATTGTAAGTAGGTTTAGATTCGTTTTAATAACATTAGCTCTGGCCAATTGATCTGAGATCAAGGCCATCATACAAAACACACACACACACATGAGAGTTGGGGACAATGGGACCAGCCCAATGAAGTGGAGAGGGGTAGAATGATAACTGTCAGTGAAAAAATAGGCATAGACACTATGCACAATTCCGTTTTGCACATATTGTAAACAAGATTCAGGGACGGTTTAACAACATTTTGTGCAACAATTATAAAATAGTGCATCGGAAAATAAAGAACAAGTATAATTTAATACTAACTCGAAATAAAGGCACAAAACATCACAAATATAAGCAAGATAACAAAGAATTGACGCCAAAAAAGCGTACAACAGCCACAACACAAACAAAAAACAGAGCTGAACATAAACATAATCGCTGAACAAAGCCAATCCTGGAATTTGTTTACAGTGCTTTAGGGCAACCTCTCCTTGTCATTTACGTGTGTAAGAGTGGAAGGTTGAATCATGCATAATTTCTACACTTTGAAGAACTTAAACTAATGAACTATAAACGCTTACAACAAAAAATTTGAGGTTTAATCCTCTACAGATGGACTAATATTATTATTCAGCAGTTTCTACAACAAGAAAATCAAAATTATATAATTCGTCATTTTTTTAAGATCGGAAATTGGACAACACATTTGGAAGTTTTAAAGTGTTATTGGGGCTAAAAATATATTCAGAAATGTGTTTCAGAGGGTCTAAAATAGTCTAAAAAAAATCGTGATAGCGGATTTTTCCTGAAAAATTAAATTAGTTGTTGAAATTTTCGTTTTATTATAAAGGTCCGGTGCGGAGCCTAGAGACCTACCCTCGTATATAATGGTATCATCCCATTAAAGAAATGTTATTTTCCAGTATGAGAGAAGGTACGGCCGATTCGTTTCTAGCAAGAGAATTGGTGCCGGGAGACGTGGTGCTTCTGAACGTAGGAGATCGGGTTCCTGCGGATATACGTTTATTTGAATCTAACGATCTCACGCTGGACGAGAGTTCCTTCACGGGAGAAACGGAACCATCCAAAAAGAACACAAATTTTGTAAACAGACCAAATGGGGCTCACTCATCAAACACTAACATTGCCTTCATGGGAACGTTAGTCAGACAAGGTACAGGAAAGGTAAGCGTACTTAGTGTTTATATTATTTTTAAGAGTACTGGGTATAAATTAGATCTTTCAAAATGTATGTTTTAAAGTTATTATAATAATGGATATCGATTGTATTTTTTATTCGTGAATTCTTTACGATTTGCCAGTAAATTTTATTGAAACAAAATATTCCAGTTTACTAACTTCAGTAAGAATCTCGAACAGTGTAGAGCTGATTGTTTTTGTTACATTTTTGTTACTTTGGTTTGAATATTGGAAATGACTTGATGCCTGTAAGTAAATCAAGTTATTGTTACTTTTGTCTGCATATTATGAAACAGTACAATACGAATAACAAAAAGGTCATAATCTTCCTGTGCCAGAATCACCTGAAAAATTCGATTTCATTCATTTTAAAACGAATTTAAAGACAGATAAGTATAATCAATAATTATTTTTAAATAATTTACACTAAAAATATTATATGAGTTGTGCAAAATTGGCGGCACATCCGATTTGTGGCTCAATTATGGATTGTATTGAAAAGCCGAATAAAGTTTTTTGAATATTTTATGTATTTTTTAATGACGCTTGATGATTTTCATCATCTGTCATATTTACCAAAATATGACATCGGATAAAATTTTATTTATATTTTTCGGATATTTTTTTTTTTTTTCTAAATTCATCAATATATGGTTTGATGGTCTCTGAGTTCATAATAAAATAGAATGTAAACATTTATTTAATATAAACTAATAATTACTTGACATCGAAGTAAACAAATCATTCAAAGTAAGTGTTTTCGAAGTGAAATCCTCCAATTACCTGAGAATATCCTAGTCTATCAACAAATGATCTTAAGGGCATTTTGATAAACTTCAGGTGTAATTTCTTGAACAGCTCTTTATAAACTACTGATTTCAAATGGCCCCAAAGAAAAAATCCAGTTGGGATAAATGCGGTGACCGTGCTGACCACTCAATATTGTTCTCTTCAACCCACCCATCTCTGCGGAAATCTTGTGTTCAGGTAGGGTCCGATTACGATTAGAAGAACACAGGTGCGTCATAACTTTGTGGAGTCAGTTTATTTACAAATCCACTGAGACAAAATGATTCGTCAACATATTATTTCCATTAATGGCATCCATCATTTTTTGACGGAATTGCATTCGCCTATTTGGGTAATCTGTATTCAATTCTTAGTGTAATTACACTTTATAAGGATGAAATTTATTGACTTTCAGAATCTTCCTTTCAGATCTCTTATTCATATTATTGTGTAACGCGAGCTTTGGAACTGAAGTTTTTGGTTCTTCCTGTACACTTAGAACCACATTAAGTACATTTTCTTCATTAGTGACTGTCCTCTTCCGTCCAGATCTTGCTCAAATTTCTGGAGAAATCCTGTCAGGAAATGTTTCATTGAACAAATCACAAGCTTTTGCAGAGATTTCTTTTTTGTCTCCAAACACGATTATCATCAATAGTGTAATTTTTATTTATTGTCGCGTATTGGGCTAGTTTGGGTGAAATGAATAGATTTGCAATTTAACTCAACTTGTTTAATTGTCTCCATAAACCAGAATGAATTAAAAGTACAGATTAATAAAAGGTGACAATATTATAAATATCATGTAAACAGTAACAAAAAAACATTGGTATGTATTTCTGTCAGATATATACAAGAATCGTATTAATAAAACTGAGTAATTAATATCGAGATGTCAATATGATATTTATAATGTTGAAAAGTGAAACCATGGCAAAACAATTCAAATTGGTACATCATGATAGCACAGAAAACTGTGTGGCTGTTATTAAAAACAATTCACAACAACCTTTCTGTTTTATTACTTTCTTATTATAAAGTAAGTCAGAGACCACCCGAACCCCATACAGATGGATTCAGTAAGAAAAAATCTATCTGAAAAAATATAAATACAGGGTGATTGATTTAAAATTTTATCCGATGACGTAATATCTTGATAAATATGAGAGATGTCGAAAATCCCCAAACGTTATTAAATAGTGCATTAAATATACGAAAAAATTTATTTGAGTCAATTTTCAGTACAATCCATAATTGAGCTATAAATCTGGTGTTCCGCCAATTTTATCAAACCCTGTATATATTTTAACACGCCACGTAAAATATTTTTGGACCAACAAAAAGCACTTCAATTTTATTTACACAAACAAAACCACTTTGGATAAATTGGGGGAAAAACAGTAAGGGGTAATTTGGTTGTGAAGATTTTTTTTTTTTTTTTATTGTATTGTAAAAAACAATATGGACCTACTATAATATTAATTGCATCTATCACATTATTTCATTAAAACAATTCTTTATACAGTAGATTAATTTTGGCGATTACGATATTCGACCAGGCATGAATAAATAATATAAAACAATATCATTTTGTTAACTTCTAAAAATTGCGAAATGTTTTTCCAGAAATGTTAACATCTTGTTTTTTTGTAAACATTTATTTATAGTTGGTCATTGATATTAAAGATTATTAGGTTTATTATGTGCTAGTTTTTTATTTTTATTATCTGCTAGTTCTCAGATTAAATTCTAAACCTATTAAATCATGTACCAGGTTACTACAATGGCAGAATTGTTTCATTTTTTAATCTTTCATCATTCATTTCTATATACTAATATGAATAATGAATTTTAAAAAAATCTACAAAAAATGCAAATCAATGTAAACGTAACAGAGGCGGATCATGATCATAATATTTGATTTCGCAGGAGAAAAATACATTATAAACTAAATTCTTTTTAAAATAATATAATGTTCCTAGAAGGGAATACAATATAAAAATTTCTTAACACTGATATGGTTATTATTAATTTTGAAATGTACTTTCTTGAATTAAGTCGTATCTCCAGTCGCGTTCATCACGTTGGGTTTTGCCTCTGCAAATATATTCTAAACTTTTTGCAGAAATTTCGATCATTTACAATTCAGAACCTATCAAATTACTTTCTTTAGAACTATGTCATATATATTTTTCATATCAACAAACGTCAAGTGAACGGTGCTTTGTAAAATTTGAATATCAATTCATCAACCAATTTGCGATAATTAATTATGATCATATCCTTTTTAGGGAATCGTTGTAAGTACGGGAACCAACAGCGAATTTGGTTCAGTATTTAAGATGATGTTAGAAGAAGAAGCTCCTAAAACGCCATTGCAAAAATCGATGGATAAATTAGGCACCCAGTTGTCTATTTATTCTTTCGCTATTATTGGATTTATAATGTTGGTTGGCTGGATTCAAGGAAAACTCATCATGGAAATGTTTCAGATTGGTGTCAGTTTAGCAGTAGCTGCTATTCCCGAAGGTATAGTATAGTTCAGTGTTCAGTTATCGTAGGTTCCAAATCCATAGACAATTAAACTCTATTCAACTTGACCACAGCACATTGAACTAGTGGGTAGGGAAACGTTCAAAATCGGATCACTGGGCTGGCCAATACCCAAAGACATTACAACATAGAGACAAAATGTTTCATTCATAAATCCCATACAATTGCGGACTATTATTGTTTTAAAATTGTTAGTGAGTGGAAGAGAAAAAGACAGATCTCTTAGGACCGGCTGGCAACGTTGTAAACAGTGTACATAATATGCTCGCCAGTGGCGTAGAGTTCTAAACTTATCAGTATTGTCAGAGTAGTATAATAAAAAAATACGTAAATAAGTAGGTGTATTTTTTAGTAATATAATTATGATGATTTTTTCAAGTACAAGTAAATTCAAATGCAAGAGAATTCAAGTTACGTTCCGATTTTGAATATTTATTGGTTTATAGTTTATTGGCATTTACTATATATTTGCCTGGTATGATGTTAACCAAAATTATTTAAAATTTTAACATATTTTAACCTAAAAATACTTACCGATGAAAGGATAAATTTCGATTTAAATGATCTACCTTATTGAACACTACACAAGCATGTACCATAATTCTTTATATTTCTCACAAAAGTTCACAAAAATAGTATTTTATAAATGAATAAACCAATAAGTCACACAGAAACTGGTCGAAACCCAAAATAGCTGTTAGACCCGATTGGCAACGTTACGGCTGGTTACGGTAACTACATTTCATTCATAAAAATAGGTACTAGGTTGTAAATTCTTAAAATAAGATATTCAGCGTTACCGTATTTACGTAGTTCTTTGCAACCCTAATATTTTGTTTAGATTAATATTGATTTTTAATAAAAAATTTAGCTTATATTAAAACTTTAAAGAATACTTTGATTAAAAACATGTTTTTATTTATATAATATAAAATTATAGTTATAGGATACATCAAATTTTATTTTTCGAAAGTTATTTCTCCAAATAATTTTTACAGACTGATAAAACCGGCAAAGACGCAATAAACGAGAATCTGGTGGGAATAATGATTTGCCACATAAAAATGTAAAGAATTTGGTCTCTTAGTTGTAATGTCTTTGCCAATACCAGTCGGGCTTGTGCGTATCATGCTGTGGTCAAGCGGCTATTGTGTTTACTCGTTACTTGCGTTTAAATTGAATAGAGTATAGTCACTTATTTCTTTTGCAGGTCTACCAATTGTCGTTACAGTCACTCTAGCGTTAGGAGTCATGAGGATGGCTAAAAGAAAAGCTATAGTAAAAAAACTACCCACTGTCGAAACTTTAGGTTGTGTAAATGTCATATGTTCTGACAAAACTGGAACTATTACTCGCAACGAAATGACGGCTACAGTATTGGTCACATCAGATGGTTACATAGCTGAAATAACTGGTGCTGGTTACAACGACCACGGACAGGTTTTGTTACATACCAAGTATGATTTTCCTGATAAAGCAAGAGAAAGTATTAAGCAGTTGTTAGAGGTAAATTAAATTGACTTGTTTTAACATAAATTCGGTCTTAAATAATTCAAGCAATATTTATGACAATAATTGTTTTTTGCTTTTAGATAGGTGCTGTATGCAATAACGCTCAAATAAAGGACGATACGTTACTTGGTACACCAACTGAGGGAGCTTTACTAGCAGCCGCCATGAAACATGGTATGGACAGTGTTTCGAATCGGTATATAAGGCTTAAAGAATACCCGTTCAGTTCTGAACAAAAAATGATGGCAGTACACTGCGTTGGCAAATACGACAACAGCAAGGAGGAGATTTTTTTCGTAAAAGGCGCTATGGAAAAGATTTTGCCGAAATGCACTACTTACAACTGGAATGGTTAGTATTAACATAACGTATACGTTTTTATTATGTATTATATTGTTGAACTTGTTAACGTTTCTCCTTTCCAGGTAATCACCAAGCAATGACAGACAACAAAAAAGAAGAATTTATAGCAGAATCCCATGAAATTGAGAGGAAAGGTCTAAGGGTTATTACGATGGCTAAGGGACGTACTTTACAGGAGTTGACATACATGGGTATTGTAGGTATTTGTGATCCACCCAGACCACTTGTAAGAGAAGCTATTGCAATTTTAAAGGAGTCCGGAGTACAAGTTAAGATGGTTACAGGGGATTCTATGGATACAGCTGTCGCCATTGGTAAGTAAAAAAATAGCATCTGACTATACAAAGAGTAAAGAGTTCTTTGACAATATTAGAACGTTGAACAAAACACCTTTATTGTTAATGCGTATCGTATTTTCTAATTGGTTTTAAACGATGTATATACAATAGTATATTGTTTCACAAACATTACCAACCTCGGCTTCGCCTCGGTTGGTAAATTGTTCTCTCGCTTCAAAAAATGATTTTCGACGAGTAAAACACTATACTTTTTCTACGAACTCTATTATGTCATGTAGGTACCTACTAAAATGAAAAAAAAAACAAACGTTAGCAAATGCTTTATTTTGTGTTAGGAATAACAAAAAATTAACCAACAATTAAATATTTCAGAAATATTATTTATTATTTAAATATTGATTTATTGTTATATTTGAACAATTGTTCAAAATTATGAGGGTATCGCACTCAAGCTTTTTATTTATTGAGGTAGATGCCGACATATTTGTTTTACTGTTAAATGTCATTTCAGATGATGATGCGCCATAATCGGATGAACTAGTAGTTTCCTTATTTTGTACAGATTGTAAAATTTTGGTTTGTATTTGGTTTTTACTGTTCGTGGATTCATCAACATATCCTTCCGCAACACTACTAGATTTCCAACCACCGTGCTTTTTTAACAGAAGCAAGTCACCTCCTGCATCCACTAATAGCGTTGCGGATGTTCTGCGGAAACAGTGCCCAGTGTAATCTTGAGGATTCGGAAGCGTTAAAAACTGAGCAATTTCGTTAGGAAATTTACTGATTTTATTAATTCCAACAACCTGTCTGCTACACTTTCCATTCTGATAGTTAATAAAGAATCTTGAATTAATTTGATCCATGTTTGCGGGACGTAGGCTCATATATTTTTTAGAAATATCATAAAAGGGTCCAGAAATATGAAAAGAACGCGGAACTTTTGTTTTTGTATTACGGATTTTAACTAACAGAATACTTCCAGTATCCTTTACATCGCTTATTGTTAAATCTTTTAGTTCGTGGCCACGACAAGCGCCAGATAATCCAAAAACTAATGCTACCTACAAATATTAGTAGTTATGTATTAAGTATTTGTTAAAATAAAAATAATAATTCCGTTACCTTTGTTATTAAATATTTATAGTCAGGTGCAGTCTTTATGTCTTCAGGCGAAAAAATTTTGGATTTTTGGCTTGTAAAACCATCAGATTTTCTTTTCAAAAGCGAACGTAACTTTGGATATTTACTAATATCGACATCATTTTTAACAGAGTGTGTAGTTCTTAGCATCGAATAAATGGACCATAACGTCGACGGTTTAAAATTTGAACATATTTCTCCAAAGTATGCTAGTAGTACAGTTTCCGAAAATGATTTCACTTTATTTTTTCTCTCCAGTCCAAAAATTTGATATAAATTTCTTCATATCTCTTTTTTGATTTGGCCGGTAATAAATCTGAAGAGGTTTCTTCAGCTTTAAAAATAATTTCTGGGGGAGTACAATCGCTTTCTGACTCAGACATCATGAAAATGTGTTAAATTTAGGACGAACTGAAACTGACAGTTCTCAAAAGTGATAAAACTTCAAATAAACAAATGAAAACCAGGAAACTAGATGTAGATTGGTTTAATTTGCACTATTTTTATACATTTTTATTTTATCTTTCATTCATTAAAGTTTAGGTAAAAACGCATATGGAATTTAATGAGCATCTTTTTATTTCATTATTAATAATTATAAGCTGCCAAAATATTATACGAGGCGACTGATATATGAAAATATGTAACAACTTACTTTCGTCACTAGAGACGAAAGTAAACGTTATGGGATTTTTCTCACTAGTGATGGAAATCAAGTTTTTGCTGAAAGTATCCTATGGCGAAAGATGTCTTTTTGTAAGAGTTCGTAGAAAAAATTATTTTACAGGAGTATATCAGGAAGTGGTGGTGGAATATCGTATTTTCATACATTTCCCCAATATATTCAGGCGATTTTTAAAACCGATAATGCCAGCAAAAGAAAGTACAATAACTCGTTACTTTGAGCATTTTCTTTAAAAGATGACAAATTATTGGAAAAATCTGTCAGGCCAATTCTGGGAGACTGGCAATAATGTTAGACTAAAATAAGAAGAATAAATAATTCATTCCAAAGGATTCTTTCCTAAACAAAAATTAATCTGCTAGAGTCCAAACTAGTACTGCATCCCTCTAACACTCCACAACAATATTATATTTATGCTTTCGAATGTAAAACTATCGTTGCTTTAAGCAATCTAACATAAAATTCATGGTTATTTCATCAGAATCAAATTCTCACTTCCACTCTGATGTAAGACTGACTTCGACACTGACTGGTTCTAATCAGAGATAACAGGATATATATAGCTATTCATTGATAAAATATAATATTTGTGACGCCGACATCGATACCACAGTCGATACGTACCAGTTGTAGATCGGGAGCGAGGAGACATGTGGTGTGAGGTAAGAGAAGGGATAAACTGAATGATTTGACGGCCCTACAAAACAATTTTATCAATGAATATATGTGTAAGCCATTTTTCACCGATAATAAACGTACAATATGCAAGCTTTGTTGCCACATCTAGTTCAAAATACTTTATATCCAACTTAACATTAACTAGGTTTTGGAATCTATTGAAAATTATTACATCTAATTTACTGAAATTATATCTAATTTAGTTAAATTTAATATAACTAATAATTCAAAATTTTTTGGGTTCAGTTGCAAGTTGCAATAAAACAGGTTGAATTATTTTTATTTTTTTTAAGATTTGTAAATAATTTTGTAAACAAAACGAGAGTAATGAAATTGGCATGACAACAGCGGATATTATACCCTCCTGTGTCCCTTAGAGTATGTCTTATTCATGACATCACGATATTTGTTTGTAGTTTCATCTCCTGTTATCTCTGGTTCTAATGCAATGCAACAACGATGACGTAAAAAATGATCCAAACTTAGTTGTTTATAGACTAAATATCTGGTTTTAAACTGTTCGTTTAAGTAATTTTAGGTATTAAAATATATTCCTAAATATTTAAGATAATAGTAATCAATTCTGTAAAACAATAAATAAAAAAAATTAAATTTTATTTTTATTATTTTCAAGATTCTATTCATCTAAAGGCATGCATATACCTTCAAACAATATTGTATTGAAAAAAATCAAAACGTTTATATCAAAATCAATAACAGAATTGTTCAACTATTGCCAATCTAATACTGCGAATTAATACAACAATTTGAGGAAAGTTTTCTAATAAACTGAACGAAAAAATATACCTTTGGGAGATACATCCAGATCATTTTACATTGTTCTTTCAGCACAATCGATAGGTTTGGAAACACTTCCTTCACAAGTATTTTCTGGGGAACAATTAGACGCATTTACTGAAAATGAATTTGATGAATCGGTACCCCGAGCGACGGTATTCTACAGGGTATCGCCGAAAAACAAATTGTCAATAGTAAAATCGTTACAAAGAACAGGACACATCGTCGGTATGACTGGCGATGGTGTAAATGATGGTGTGGCCCTTAAGAAGGCAGATATTGGTATAGCTATGGGCAAAAATGGTACAGACGTGTGTAAGGAAGCTGCCGATATGATTCTTGTCGATGATGATTTTTACACAATTATGTAAGTAGTATAATTTACTTTTATTGTCGCATTTACACAGGAAATGTTACTAGATAGGTAAATTTTGACTTTTGTGTCATTTGTAACAAAACATTTTAAATCTTCATTATGAATTCATTAAAGTCAATGTTTATATAATCAACGAATAAAGATTACATTACTAAATTGTGCTTATTATCTTTTTATTAATAATTGTAGATATCTTTAGCTTGTCTCTACTTGTACTCGTGCTTCATTATATCAATTTCAAATTAAAAAAAATCCATTAGCAATCCACAAATTAGTTAGTTAGTTAGTTCTAATAAGAACTGATTTATTTGATTTTGGATAAATAACAGATAATTAGAAAGAAGAAAATACAAAATAAGCAGACTGATATTTTAAATTTTAAAAGTTATCGACCAAGAAGTATTATTAGACATTTTGGTATATGTGAACTTGTCTGTCAACTAACCAATCAGAAACTAGTGTTTAGGGGCGGAAAATTCAAATCGCTCCTAGTTTAAAAATAAAGTATATTTAATTTTTTATCGGTCAAAATGTGACAAATTTTCTTTTTCAGAGCTGCTATAGAAGAAGGAAAAAGCATCTTTTATAATATTAGAAATTTTGTTACTTTCCAGTTGTCAACTTCAATAGCCGCACTATCATTAATTGCGCTTTCAACTATTTTAGATATACCTAACCCACTGAATGCTATGCAGGTAAGCGTCTAATTTGTTTAGATATCGTTAGTCCTTCATTTTTAGATTTTCACAAGTAAATTTTCACTGAATTTCACTCTCACAGAAGATATTCCTCGATTTCTGCATTATAATTCTTGACTAATATTTTCATAAAACCCTTTTTTATAATAAATGTGTATAAATAAACCTAATTGTTCCCTTTTAGATTTTATGGATCAATATTATTATGGACGGTCCTCCAGCACAAAGTTTGGGCGTAGAACCAGTAGAAGAGGACGTCGTTAAGCAAAGAGCCAGAGATACTAAAGAGCCCATGATAACAAAAAAACTTATACTGAATGTTTTACTATCAGCATCGTTCATCATTGGTGGGACCTTATGGGTGTTTCAAAAAGAGGTTAGTATATTGCATATTTCAATAATTTTACTTCATAAGAAAAATAAATAAAATACGCTTTTTAAAATGTGTTTTGATCATGACATTTTAAATTTTCAGTTAAGTTCAGAAGGAATAACTGCCAGAGATACAACAATGACCTTTACATGTTTTGTATTTTTCGACATGTGGAATGCCCTTTCTTGCCGATCTCAAACAAAGAGCGTTTTCACGATTGGTCTATTCTCCAATAAAATGTTCTTATTAGCTGTCGGGTTGTCAGTACTTGGACAGTTGCTTGTGGTGTATGTTCCACCGTTACAGAGTATATTTCAAACGGAAGCTCTGACGGCGTGGGGTGAGTATAATTAACTCTAATTTACCAAATAAGTTTAAATCCAATGACTACAGTACTTCGCCATTTTCCAGCTTTTTCTCTATATAACATTACATGATGTTTAACAAAGTAAGCATAGCCTTAAAAGTAAATAACCTTTTTACTGCTTGATAATGGGGAATTCTATGAAAAGGAAATATATAAATAAAAGATATCAAAAATATATGTCAAAATAATCACCCTTGTAAATTTATGTCCCTTAAAAATAATCACTAGGTAGTTAAATTTGAGAAAAAAAGTCAGACATTTAAACTTTAAAACGTGTTGCTACTTTGATATGTGGCAACGGCTTAAAGTTGTTTCTTAGGGAGGTTTTGACTTGTCTGTTTTGCTGAAGCAGTTTGAAGTGAGACTTAACTCTATAATAAAAAAAACTATAAATTAGGAATGAGAGCAATTTCTTGGCATAGCTATAAATTAGGGATGAGAGCAACTAATTGGAATTAAGGAATCTAAGAGAGGTTGCTTAATTCCATTGAGTTGCTCTCATCCCTAATTCATAGTTTTTTATTGTAGTATCAAGACTCTTTTAACTACTGTAGAAACACGATAACTCTTTATGTAATAAGGCTTAAAAATTGATGTACAGCTAAAACCAGTCGCCAGTTAAAGATTGTTTGTGGTATTAATTTAGTATTTCATTTATCTCATAATTATTTTATGAAAAGGCAGTCTGATTGCCATATCAGAAAAATCCAAAACATTTTTGCTTTATTTAATAAAATAACATTGTTACATACAGTTTTGAGGTGTTAAAACTTTTATAAAAAAAAATTAAAATTAAACTTGTTTAATATTTAAACTACTGCTTTTTCTTGGTTATAGTGCTGTAACTTGACAAACCGGACCCTGACCTAGTTTTGCAAATACTTATAACCTTGGCCTAAATTTCGTCTAGTAGATCCCCACGAAGTGATGTTAAAACCCCCCCAGAATTTCGTTTAGAGTTCAATGTAGCTGTAATGGAGGAAGAACAAAGGAAACACCGAGATTAATTTTGAATACTGTTTATTTAACATCTATTCTTTTGTACAGCCGAACATTTAGATTATGTGCCATTTTTAGGCTTAACATTCTGTTTATGTAGGCTTTCTAATGTGTCATTTCTAACCTCAGAGCTTTTAGTTCCCATAAAAGGGTAAAATAAAAGTCGGAAGTACTTTGGTATGTTTGTTCGTCTCCTAATATACAATCACACGTTTCCACGGAACTACTGAATTACGCATTGTCTATTAAAAGAGAGTACAACGGTAGCACGAGGAGTGTTGTGAGATATAAAATATTGCGTCGAATTGAGAACCTCTTCCTTTTTGAAGTCGGTTAAATTTAATATTTCTAATATGTGTAAAACCCGGAGTGTAGATTTACCTCACTGTGCGTCACGCCTTTCTCTAATATTCCAACGCCGTAATTTACTGACATACTCAGTCCTGTATGGACAACACTAAACGGTCGATCGGAGAACACCTGATATAAAGGGGGATGCCCGTCAGGCCCACTTTTGGGGTATCTCAGTAGAGATCCATCCAAGCCTCTATCAGGCTTTAATTTACATAGCCGCAAGGAAAATACCATTTTTAGGCCCTTACTATTGAGGTCCCTGGCGGTCTATGGTGGCCTAAGGCGTCTTTTTTGGCACGATGCTCTGTCGATTGACAAATCATTGTTATTAATCACAGTTCTGTGGATACGTTAGCTAGTCCACAAACACAATTTCACCTATTTATTCTAAATAAATAACAAACATACCGACTACTTCCGCGTAATGTCCCGCTAAAGATATGTGGATATGTACAAATAAATACGACCCCCCTCAATATTCATGATTCTACCCGCCGCTGTACATATCTCCTTTTTCCCGAAAATTCGATACACAACTAAAATTCCGTACGGCTAAAATGACACATTTGTCTACCCAATTTTGTATTACAAAGAACGACAGAAAACATATTTTTTAACCACAATCTAACTGTAAAATATATACAAATCAAGGCATTTACCCTACTAATCTACATGTGTTTGACATTTAAAAGTAAAATCGAAAGTGCTTTTTATCTTTAGTGAAAGGGGCAGGTACTGCTTACAGACAACCGAAACTTTACAATTCGGCACTTTGGCCATAAATCTAAATGACTTAATTTATTGCTTGAGAGCATTGACCGACTTTAGAACAATTAATTTTTATGACAACAACATCACTATCGATTCTCTAAATAACATAATTTAGCACAATATAAAACCCTATAATTTTTCCCACAATAAACGTTTACCAATGAATACCAAAAATATAACAATAACACACAGACGCGAATTTTCCCGCTAATGAATATAAAAGTAATAAAGTGATACCTGTAACCTATTAATGTTTGTCTAAATTCTCCCCCGGAATATCTGAATATTAATTACTAGTTTGATTACTTTAATAGTGCGATTATCGTTTTAATTCTACGTAAAAGAAACCTTACAGAAAGAAAAGTATACCGCTGACAAAAGGTCTACCGGGTCAGCCAGAAGGGTGACGAAATCCACTACGAACGTCGCCTGGAGTAGTACCTTTAATCATTTAGTAACATTTTATAATGTTGAATCGGAGATATAAAATATCTGGCGTTTAACTAGACTAGCGTCGTATCACTAGTATCAGTTACGCCGATATCTTTGTCGCTCGGTAGATACAACTTTACAAAACAGTTCTAGGAGTGAAATCTGTTTCTACTCAACGTGTATCTGCTTGGTCAACCTGACTATATATCTCCTTTTACTTATGTATAGAATATAAGAAAAAGGTGGTCATCCTAAGGACAACTGGATATCTATGCAGAAGCCGTCGTTTATAGAAACTAATTTCTCTACTCCGTCGATATCTTTTATTTCCGTTGTCAAAATATAACAAAAACGCGGCCACCGTAAGGGTAGCGATATCTCTCTTTAATTATATTTGAAGAATATAAAGAAAAAGGAGTCACCGTGCGGTAACCTGGATATTTGCGTATTTTGTTAACTCGACTCGGTGAAGAAGAAAAAACTAATCCCCCAGCCCTCAAAAACCCGGGTATTTATACTTAAATTTCCAATATATGCAAATGTATAAGACAGAGACCGACTGTTGGTTTGGTGTATAAAGACTATAAAGCCCTGTATTAATTCCTGAATATCACCCTATCGGTGACATATGGTTTTTTAGCTAGCGTTCGTGAGGAACGACACAAAGACTGTTTTTCCCAGAAGTAATAAAACGGCGCCTACGAGGCGGGACACGCTGGAATGCTGTTTGAATTCGAAATAAAATTTGAATATAATATGTAATATATAAGAATTATTTAAATTAATTATCAACCCCCGGTTGTCGGATTTCAGTGCCGACATTCTAGTCTACTCATATATTCTTAAAAAACTGTTCATATATTCGTGTGAAAGCCATAATTAGATTAGATTAGTTCCATTTTTTTATATTTATAGCATAATCATCAGAAAATCAAAACAAATCACAAATCAAAAGTTTTTAAATTAGACCCTTTTCACATTATTAATATAGTATGTGAGTATCGGATACAGATACAATGTATTCAGATACTTTTTAAACCGGTAACTGGGAAAGTCGATAACACATACCCTGTCAAGGTTATGCTGATGTTATAGTCATATTTGCTATATGCAAGTTTGGAAATATCCTGTGTGATATAGTCAAAAGAGGACCAGAATCTCAATCTTAAAACTGTCAAAATAGATAGATATAGAACGGAAAAAAGAAATCAAATATCTAGGCCTAACCCTGGACAACAAACTTCTCTGGAACATTTGTGAGAAGGAAGTAATAAATAAGGCCATAAAAGCCTTAATGGGATGCAGAAACATGGCAGGTAAAAGGTGGGAATGTAACCCGAACACATTGCAATGGCTGTATACAACAATCATCATTTCTGGGGCTGTAGCCTGGAGTAACAAAACTAGTTTAGCTACTACGAGAGCTAATATCTCAAAAGCACAAAGACTATTCTGTGTTTTCAGCACCAGTACAATGAGAACCTAGTCAAAAGAAAGCCTATTAGCTTCAAGACCGAAGATAGTTGGGATATGCCATAGGACGAAATGAGAAAGTACAGTTTTGTGAACAACTTCAAAACCAGAGAGCTGGACTGCAAGAAAGAATGGAGCCAAGAATGAATCGTGCTTGCAACCGAAAGACATGACATTCAGTGGTTATAGGTGCTACCAAAACCATAAAAGGAACTGGAATAGGAATGTATGGGCCTAGAATCAGGCACTCTGAAAGTTTGGGTAAATACCCGAACATCTTCCAGGCGGAAATTCACGCCATTGAGAAGTGTATCCAGTTCAACATCCGAGAGAAACTATCGCAGACAAGAGATTAGATAGTATTACAAGGAAAGGGGCTCAAATACCCTTTGTGGAACCTGAGCCGTTCTGATGTATCAGTAGTAACACAGTATTAGGAGGAGAGATTGAAAAAAAATTGAGTAATACAAGAATCGATAGGAACAATCTCTTGGGGTTAAGACAGGCTAAGGTACTTCTGGGTAAATATAACCAGAAAAGATTGAAAGTCTGTATCAGCCTGAGCAAGAATAGGCTACGCATTGTAACAGGGATCCTTACCGGATACTGCCGACACCTCAGTAAGCTGAGAGCAGAAGATAGTGAGTGCAGATTTTGCGAGGAACCTCCATTCACATTCTGAATATGTAGCACACCAGAATCCAAGGGCACTATACTTAAGATCAGGATCCAAATAGAAGAGGTCGATCTACATAACTTGAAGCTACTCTAAATCCTACACTTCCTTGAGAAAATAGGATTGGAAGAGTCGTTATAGGCATCGAGACTATTTCCTCAATGCATTAGCGACAGAAGGGGCACAATAGATCTTTTAGGTCGCAGTGCATCTACCACGTACCCAACATAACAGTCTCAAAATTAAATGAGTTATAAACTTCCACGGTCCTAGCAATAGCGGTCTAGGACAGCTCGCCGCCGTCGACTCGCCACCGTCATCTCGCCGCCACCATCTCGCCGCGGGGACAACTCGCCATCGCCGACTTGCCGCCGGGATAACTCGCCGCCCGCTCCATAAAGTATTTAAAAAAATTCTCTCAAAACTTTATTCTATTGTTACAGTTCATCAAATTTCTAGAGGCTTTCGACGGCTAGACAGAGAAAGCACTACTGACAGGCATCCCGACGGATTTACGCAATGAAAGTACACTCTGCGCATCAAGTATTTCACTATTTCATTCAGACGTAAATGTCAGATGTAAATTTCGCTAAAACATTTCTTTTATTTTCGTTTGTGTTTTTTGCTCATTACAGTTTAATAGAACCTAAGTATGGAGTTTAATAGCAAATTAAGAGGCCGCGTGATTAACAGTCAATCTCGCGAAATAATAGGCAATGTTATAGAGTTTATGAGAAGAGAAGGAAACTTTAATTCACCTTCAATACCATTTAAAAATGTAAATGATCGTGTTGCTGCAGCCACAGGAGTATCTAAAAACACTGTCGTCAACATTTCTGGAGAGAAAAAAGAATCGATAACCGTGAGATATCGGAATTTTCATCACCAAGAAAAACCATTAAAAAACCAAAAACAGTTAATGATATAGATGAAGCTGCACAAGAATCAAATTTTATTTTTTTATTATTAGATAGCTATTTTTGTTTCTGAGTTGTGTTTATTTACAGGCTCAATTTTTTTCCGTTTCTCCTTTTTGATTTTTATATGAGGTTTCAAGTTGTTTTTGACTTATTTCGAGGTAAATCACAACAACACCCTTTTTTAATAAAGCAAACAAGTGTTAAGAGGTATATGTACGTGTAAACTACAATTACAAAAAATTGATATGAAACCCATGAAACTACCAACAAAAATGTAAAGTTAGCTTCCGTACTAGAACATGGTGTCATTCGTCGAGATAATTTATCGTTTTGTTTAATAGATCAAGAAATGTAAATATTCCCCTGTTATTTTTTATAAAATTATAAGAGAAATAAATTTTTTTCTTAATAGTATAGTTTATTATTTTGTAGAAAAACAAAATTTCGAAAATTTTAGTAATGTTTCAGAAACAACCGTTATTAATAATAGGTACCATTTTCCTTAATAAGGTAGAAATAAAATATAAACTATTTCCACGATTTACAAAGGCCTACAAAAAAATTATAGGTATTTTCCGCTATCCTATAAAATTTATATTTTCTGACTCAATTTCAAAAGGTTGAAGGAATTCCAAAACACCTTTTATGGCATAATAATTATTTTCAATTCTACATACTATCTTTAGCTGCTTTTAAAAACGTTCTAAGAAAGTCCAATCAGACCAATTTAATCCCTAAACTATTCCACACTTTTAAAATTTAATTACCTAAAAATATTAAAAACTATTTAAAATAACTTGTTTAGCAGACTGTACAATAGCTATCTTAGTCACACGTAGCGCGTTCTCTGTCTGGGCGTCGATCACCTCTAGAAATTTGATGAACTGTATGTTAAAATTGGTTTTAGATGTAAGTTTTTACGAAGATAAAATTTAACAATTAATGGTAGCAATTAAGTAGCAATTGTAAATTTCTTTTAAATATTAACAAGATAATTTTATAAAAGATAATTGATTTGAACTAGTGTCTTTTAAATGATACAATATTAAGCTTTCTTAATAACTAGGTTATTTATTGTATAATAGTTTAGAGCAATGTTTTTGTTTAAAAAATGGATAAAAATACTAAGACGTTTAATGATAAAAAAAATAGTTTTCGCAATATTTTAATTTTATTGGGTGTACCAAAACAAAACTACAAATTATAACAAAATAATTAACTTTTACTATTTGTCATTTAAGTATTGAAATTGGATCTTAAATAATGTAATATTGAAAAAACACGTATTTAATTTCCAATTATATAGGGTTGTTCAAAAGGTACACACAAAAAATATTTCGATTATTACTAATCAATAAAATAATTAGTTTATTTAATTTTTTATTTATTTATTTATTTATTTATTTATAAAGATAATATGGACTGTATATGGAAATTATGAAATTGCTAATAAAAAAAGGGATGGTCAGTGATGAATGCGGCATATAGAATTTGAGATATGTTTGTTCAAAATTCGGTGGTGTGGTGCGGAATATTACCAGAAACTTTATAAAGTATACAGATGTACCCAGATACGTCTATATCCGGGTACTACCAACTCTGTTATAATCCAATAATCTAGGCAACGAAGCCACATATCAAACTAGAAACAACATTTTAAAGTTTAAAAATGGCCCATAAAATAATGTTTTCTTGAAATCGGATATGAATTTAATAATATAATTATGTAATATGTAAATAACTATCAAAATCTAAAATGAAAAAAAAAAAAAAAAAAAATTTGAAAATTATGATGATGTTGATCATTAAAAGAAAAATCAAATGTTACCAAGACATGTAATAAAATAGAAAATAAATCACGAAACCATATATCACACAAAATACGAGCGACCGTTTCCCTTAGGAAAGCAATTACTCCTTTGGCTACTACTCCAAAGGATATAATTCAGGACATTTTGGGGTATTAGCCAAATGAGTACTTGTTTTCTGAAAGAAAGTGGTCGCTCGTATTTTGTGTGACAATGGCTTCATTTATTTATTTTTTTAAGTATAAAATCAGATATGGGACATAAAGATAGGAAACGCAACAACCGCAGCAACGATGGCGTCATCTATGCGTCTCAGATGTTAACTAAATGTACACGTCGTTTGTAGATGTGGACAGCAGTGGAAAGTTTGTAAAAATAAATGTCAATTAGTTGTATGTATATCGTAGAATCTTGAAGTTGAATTAAAAATTTTGAGTTCATGAATGGTTAAGGTGAACTAAACGAAATGGTTGTGGTTGTTTTTATGTGAAATTTGACGACAATAATTGTGTAATGTTACAAATATCTGAATTTCCAATAAGGAGTTTGCAGTCAACATTTTTAAAAATGAGACACCATTGACCACTCGAAAATAAGGACAAAAATGTTAAAGTTACAAATAACAATCAAAAATTAAAACATATTGTTCATGAATAGATTAACAATAATTAATCGATAATAGACTGTAAGTGTAGTATTCTTTTTAATAAAAAATTTACCGTAAATAACATTGTTTAAATGTATTTACCAGATCATGAAAATGCATATTTACAACCTTTATTATCAGGTTTTTAAATTTCCCGCTGCGTTGTTTGATATAATTGAAAGCGCCACATAGTGGGTCAGATGTTAACTCCGTCCGAGCTGGTCGTTGTTAAGCATGTGTTTCTTATGAGCGTTTCCCATCTTTATGTTCCTGATCTGTGTATAAAATATTAAAAGTAATCTGGAAAATTGAAAGTCAAACAATTTTAGCATCTAAAATAGTTATGAATCCTGTAATTTTAATAGTATACAAACAATTTCTTTTCAGATATGGCGTTTCTGACTGCCCTTACTTCATCAGTATGGGTGTTTTCTGAGATTAAGAAGCTCGTTGAAAGGTACATGGAGAGGCGATGCAGAGGAAAACGATCTCCATTAGAATATGTATGACAAAAGGGGGGGCCCGGGGACAAAACCCGCTGCAATTAGCTGCTCCTTCTCCTCTGCCCCCAGTTATTTGGCCCCACTCTCCCTTAGAATGTGCAAAACAGTATCATTTTTTCTGAAACTCGCGTGCTAAGTATATACAATATAAGGTTTGTTTTAATCGAAATTTTATTGCTGTTTCACTCTTTGAATGTATTTCAATTTCACTGAAACGAAGTATTTCTCAAATTATCTATTAGTATGTTTCACTCTTAACACTTATTTGACGTTCTAATAAATCATAAACTCAAAGTCTGAAGACACTGATTAGGTGTATTCATATTATTTCAGAGATTGACATAATTTTGAGATAAATGTCAAAATTCTTATTAAACTAATAATGAAATAATAATATTTCTTAATCTTAAGAATTTCTACTTTTTAACCTTATTCAAAAGGTTTTGTATGGTGCTTGCGTGTAATTAAAACAAATTTTTTCAATAAGTAAAAGATTTGTTTACTCGCAATATATTGTGAGCTTAAACTTTGCGTGATAATTATTGTGTAACTTTTAAAAAAATATTTGGTTAATTATTGAAGTATATCGGAAACTAATCGGAATATGGATTCATATAGTGCGCACAAATTAATGCCTTGTTTTTAAGCTTATTACTTGGTAAATTGCAGTTTTTAGCTTCTTTGAGTGATGACCTTTTGAGATTAGGCAGTTGAGTAGTGAGATTTTGTTGTTATCTAATAGTTTTTCTTCTGCCAAATTTGAAATTAATACTCGTTATGTTTATAATGAAATTGATTATTTACAATAAAAGTCAATATGCCGTTATTATTTTTGTTAATTTGATCCCAGTTTTTTTTATTCTTATAATTATTGCTATGTGTTTTGAAATGTTTCATTGTATGTTCACTTATCAGTTTTCTTCATTAGATTTAGAAATGTATTTTAAACATCCAACTATCAAAGGAATCTTTTATAATAAACTTTATTTCTGATTTTTAAAGAATTTATTCATTTTTAGCAGTATTATGAACAGGAAATAAGCCAATACATCTAAATCTCTTCGTAATTTTATTGCCAAATAGTAATTTTACATGTATATTACTATTGTACATAAAAAGTGACTTTTATATGTGTGAAACACTCAAAAAGAAATAATTTATTTATAAAAAATAGTGTTCAAATGCTAGTACCTTCAATTTTGATTTTTTCAATCGATATTTTGTCTATTTTAAAATCGTTTTTTATTTGAAAATGTTTTGATCAGAGTTTTCTTACAGGTTGTTGGTAGCATCATAATAGTTTCTGCCTCACATTGTTCATATAGAATGACAAATCAACTATCACAAAATATGCAAATATCTTAGATTTGTCACATTTTTAATTAAATCTTATTTCGACTTTCCCGTTTCGTTTTATAAATAGCATTTTTTTTATTTTAAAAGATAAAATAACATTTACCCTATTTGATACACATCCAAAAGTCAATTTTATTTTAAGACATAAGTTCCAACTATGTACATTTCTTGTGTTTCTTCCATCATTGAGGGGCTAGTGAAGATAATAAACATTAATCTACTAAATAAAACTTGATAGGTTGACATAAATTGCCTCCAATTCCTTTGATTTATAATTTTAATTAATATTTCTTCGGTTTTTTTACCTTTTCAGTTTGGCTTAATTGTAATAACTTACCTATAAAAACAAAGCATTTTATATTTACATATTTACACTTGTTAATAAAAAATTGTTTCTTCTATTTGGGTTTGTAGTACGTCATTACAACATGCACCTCCATTAAAAAATTAGATATGCATCAGTTGCATATATTTCTAGGTGTATATTATGCAATTTTCACGTTTTTATTTGCACATTTTAAAGGCTCTATAAATTTGTTGCAGCTAATTGTTTGTTTATTTATTTATTTATTTTTCCATTGTTTAGAATAATTTTTGTATGGAGTAGTTTTTCTTCCTTATTTTTTTATTGCAACCCAGTTAATTACGTAAATACATTAGAAAATTCTATACTGTGACAATGTTTCAAAAAATTTTTTATTTTAACTTAGAATTTTCGTAAAAAAAAAGAATAATTACATATGATGTAAATTAGAAAGTAAGAAAAAGACACTTTTAACTACTTGTACCTCGTTTTTTCAATTTTCTATATACAGAGTAATTCAGAAAAATGTTGCATTATTAAAAATTAAAAAAAGTTTTGTACTTGAAAAATGCTTCATAGACCCAGTATTGATGTTTTATATTTTTATGAATTGCTCTGTATAAACCGTTTAGTGGTTTTACGTATATTTTGTTTACTGGTAAATCATCTCTTATGGCATTAAAGTTGTGCTGTGAAGAACCTTTTTGTTTGCTCAGTTTTAATATAAGTAAAAATTATGAACAACAAAAAATAAACAAATGTTGAAGTAAAATGATGTTTCATATTATCCTATTTCTTTCAGGGTTACCGAATGTCAATAACTTTCAAAAGAATATTAATATTTTTTTAATTAATTTATTTAACGTCGGCCTATTTCTAACCACGAAGTTTAAACAATGAAGCTGATGAGCACGCTACCCCCAATTACCAGACATTTAGCCGAATCCTTTGGTGTTACAACCAAAGGTAGGGATCTTTAATGAGCCTAACATTCATGGACTTGGGACCGACAGCTTTAAATCTTGTCCGAAAAATTACACACCCCACGCTATACCTCGTACTTATAGATATAACGCCTGCCCGCTGTGGTATGCAACTACTTGAACAGTTTGCACGTACGCCCATTTTTATTGAGATGGTCACTCAACCAACTACTAACTTCGTTCGGCTTGGATTGACTACAGGTATCGATACACAATAAATGAATCTGTCCTTAATATTAAGATATTTAGTGATTTTATTCAGTTTGTCATTTGACAAAGATAACTTAACTTTTTTTGTTTTGATAGGAATAAAAGACCACACCTACTATAAGTACTTTATAAAATAAATTTTAGACGAGTTACTTGTTCTTTATATTTATGCTCTATTTATCTACCAAGCATACCGTTAAAAATGAAAAGTGACTGTGCAAAAGTGGTTAAATACATTCTCGGATAAAACATTCTATTGTCTACTATTACATCTAAGTATTTAATTTTTTTTACAAACTCAATTTTATCGTTTGCTATTTTAATATCGTAATTATATTCATTAAAGTCATGGTATTGCTTGTCGTTTCCTATAAAAATGAATTTCGTTCTATTTTTATTAATTTTTAATGAGTTGACGCAGCACCACTTATATTCTGACTTCAGTGTTTCATTTATTACATTAATTATATCGATAAGATCATTTGATGCATAATAGATTAAAGTATCAACAGATGAATGTTGCATCTATCAATAATAGTCCAGGATCCATAAGTAAGGTCAACCTTCACCCATCTGTTTAATGGATAAAACTTATTTTTTATTAAATAAAATATGTTTTTAAATATACCGCAAATGGGTTGCCTAAGAAAATACGGTCACGGCCATTTTTTACTTTCCTTTCTGTGTACAGATAAGGAAAGTATAAAAATCATGATAAAAAATGTTTATGAGGTCCATTATCTATTATTTTATTCCTATACATGATTTTCCTAAAATGGACCTAATTCGAGATATTTGAGGAAAAGTGCAAATTTAGAATTTTGAAGACAACTCAAAAACGGATGAAGAGAAAAACATCAAATTTTAAACTTAGCTTTAATCCATCCTGCGGTGAGCTGATTAAAGTTTGGGCATAGTTGAAGCATCTGGGGAATACTTTACAGGGTGTCGTTTTTTTACTTTAAGAAAAAACATAGCCTGGACCGTATTTTCTTAGACAACCCATTTGCGGTATATTTATAAATATATTTTATGTAATAAAAAGAAACTTTCATCCATTAAACAGATGGGTGAAGGTCGACCTTACTTCGGATCTTAGACTATAATGAATGAGATATCCCTTCTAGATATTCAACAAGTTGACTATAAACTACTTTTTCCAATACTTTCTCAATAGTACAAAGCATATTGATTGGTCTAAGATCAGCTGCCTTATTGGAATTAGTAACTTTAGCAATTGGTGTTATAGTTGAAACTTTTAGATTGATGGAATGGTATTGGTTTATATAGAAGAATTTACGAGGGCAGTGCAACATTATCAAAACAATTTTTCAAAAATTCTACATTTATGTCATCAGGACTTCCTTTATTTGCCATTTCAAAAATAATTTCCTTTAAAATGTCCCTATCAATTAATTTAAAACTTTTTAAGTAGACATTGTTAGTTCTGGTTACAATAGGAAAATCTGGAACATTATATTCTATATTATTGACTATTTCTTTGATACTGTTAACGTAGTATTTGTTTAAAACCTCGGGCATTTCACATATATATCTTTTACTACTTGACTTTCACTCACCTCAATCTCCGTGACTCGAAGTTCTTTATTGTTTTTAGGTATCATTTCCTTCAATATCTTCCACAATTTAACAGTTATATTTGTTGTTCATTGTATTTAGTTTTTTCTTGTCGAATTACCTTAACTGCTAAATTTCTTGTATTTGTATATCTCTAGATTCCTAGGAGATGTATTTAAAATATATGCCTGATAACTAATATCCCTGTCACGCGTAGCTTTTTTAACAGTTTCATTCCACCAATTTTTATACTTGGGAAAGATTTTAATACCTTTTACTGGAGCTACTTCATCTAATACCTTTATAAGTTTTGAATAAAAGTCATTTATTTAAACGGAAAACCTATAATGATCCACAACAAAATATAGGACCACCATTGACGCGGTATTTTCCAGATATTTAGAGGATATCAAGTCTCAAACTTATGTTTCTTATTTCAGTTACCATAAACCTATAGTTTAAAAAATATTTTAAACAATATTAACTTCATTTATTCAATAAAAGAAAAAAAAATTGTTTTCTTATCGGTCACCACGCTCAAAAAGTGTAACTTGAATTAATATCAAAGAAAAAACTTGAATTAATATTAAAAAAAATACTGCATAAATAAAATAAATCAATAATTATAATTGCATAGGTTGATAAAAAATGCTATGCAATAGCTTTACCGCGGCAGTCCCCGAGTGTCACACGTATTTTTAGAATACATGTTTAAATGAACATAGTATACAGCTGCTTGAACCTACATGCTTGTTTAACTTAATTTATAATTTTTCAAAAATTCTATAAATTTCCATTTTAATTAAATTAAAATTTAAAAGAAATAAAAAATAATTTGGTGACAAACTGGTTTATTTACATCATTGTACATAAAAAATGTATTCATATTGAATATACACTAATAATATGTATATTATTACACATACTGTTGAAAACACCATTGTAACTAAGTTGAACCGATTTTTACACTTTTGGTAATGTGTTTATATTAATTTATGTGATGTAATGTATATAGAAGTTAAGAATCGACGTCAGACTAAAATGATTACAGTGAGTTGAACAAAATGGACGCAACACTAGATTTTTGGCTTTATTATGAGCTCGATTGCAAATGCAGGATCCCGTTTAGCAATTTCATCTAATATCTTTTTAATTTGAACGAATTGGCTGTCTCTATTGGCTTTGTTGTTAAATACACACTAGAGGTACATTTAGTGTGCATCGTCGCGACTGCAGTTATAGTGTAAGTAATAAGAGTTATAGATAAGTGGGGTCACGTGCGGTATTTTACCAAAAATGTGTATTAATAAATTCTGTTTTTTATAATTTTCAGTGAAAATAAACCGCTTGGAAAAGACTAGGCCAATTACGCAAAAAGAACGAGAAGATTTAATAAACAATACATATTTTACCAATAAAAACGATGAAGAATGAAGCAATGTAGAGGCGCACAATGAGAAAATGCAATATTTGATGATAGAATATGTGTGGTAAAAAAATAAGTGGATTCAGAGGAAGAACCCCCCAGATTATATTATTTTCATAAAATATATGTAATATTCATAAAAAATAATGTATCGGAAGGACCCCCATCAGGCATTTATGTTGAAGAGCATAGGCATTTAAGGGTATATGGAAAGGTTTTGTACATTTTATACACTATTTAAATCAATGCTAGAGATTCGACTATATATGGCTTATTCGTCAAATTATGACGTCAGCGGATATTTTAAATTAATTTTAGACAAATATACAATATTCTAAAATTGTTCATTGCCCAAAATCATTGAATGTGTAACATAACAACATTATTTTTCAGAATCTGAAACATTAACTTCGAAAACAAAAATCAAAAGAATGTATGTAGTAATGTTAAATTATACATCTATTTTTTGAAGTATTTAGTAGATAATTGAATGTTTGATGTAAACAATTTGTTCGCCAACCTATATAAACGGAGACCCGAAAAATTGAGTTTCCACCGTATATCTAGCGGCTCTGGAAGGCCATTTTAGATTTTTATATCAACTCAAAATTACTTTTTATACAAAATGTTAAAAAACATGACATAAATGACACGGCTGATAGAACTTTAAAAATAAATAGGTTTTTGCTCAATAAACAGTTTATGTCCTGACCCTTAATTTTTGTGTTACAGGGAATTAAAAATAAAAATTTTAAATTTATTCTGACACGCTGTCAAAAAGCGTTAAAATCCAGTTTATTCTGATATATAAATATAAAATTGCTACTTTTCACATTATTTTATGACTGAAAGAAAATTGAAAGGGCAGTGAATTAACAAAATAAGAAAATGTGGTATGAGAGGAAAAATTGTGTAACTTTATTTTATGATCATATTGACAATGGCCAATAATTACAAAATGAAGTTATACATAAAAATTCACTTGCTGGCAGCTTTTTCGTCATAGCCCCCAAAATTGTTTTGCAAGTCTAAAAGGTCATTATCTCTCGTCTCAGTAGCGCAATCTAGCGGCAGAGCACATATGGTTAGGCCAGAGATAACAGGATATGTAACTACAAACAAATATCGTGCGGTCCTGAATAAGATATTCTAAGTTTGTTTACAAAATTATTTACATATATTAAAAAAGCTAAAATAATTCAACCTGTTTTATTGCAACTGAACCCAAAAAAATTTGAATCACTAGTTATATCAAATTTAACTAAATTAGCTGTAATAATTTTCAATGAGTTCCAAAACCTAGTCATGTTAGATTGGAAGTGGCAACAGAGCTTACACCGGCATGGATATTTACGTTGTTTATTATAAGCGCACAGCGTCTTACACATTTATTAATTGATAAAAAAAGTTGTATCTATGTAAAATTCTTCTCTTTATCCCTTCTCTTACTTCTCATCTTTCGTCCCATCGCCGCGGACCTACAAAGTAGTTTTCCGTATTTTTACATCTCAATTTGTATTATTGCAAACTAGTTTTTATGTACAAATATATCGAAAAATATCCACTTTAGAGAAGTGAAATAATAATACATTATGTACGAATAGCTTAGCCAAATTCAAAAACGCAACCAAAAATTTTACAAAATAAGGGGAGTTAAGAGGTCCCCTACTGCTGCGATACACCTCTGGCAATAGTGAGTTAATTTTTTTGCATTTTATGTCTTAAAACAATTAAACTGTCCCAAGTTTAGTAAAAAATTTATACTAATTTCAAAGCTATGGAAAATGTCCCGTTGTGGAAGAAGCCTTTTAAATAAAAAAAATCTTTTTTAAAATAGAGACATTTTTATGTTTCAGAGTTCCTTCAGTCATATAATGTATGCCATGTTTTTTTGAAACACTTTGTATAAACACACCAAAATTTTAAAAAAATCGGTCCAACATCTTAAACTCCTAAAGGTGTTCAAATACTCTGTATAACCTAGTAAAACCTACATTTAAAAAAATATATAATAAAAGTGATCTATTAAATAATACAAACTGATAATAAATACATAAAAATTCATAAATTCTCAGCCCATATCAACCAAATTACATACATAAATATTTGACCAATGTTTCTAAAATATTTAATAAAAATCATCATCTTCAAACTTCGTTGTCTGTTGCTGATTTTTAACTTGCTCCTGACTGGAATACATGCGAGCAATTTGTTGTGAACTAGTAGCTTCTTCAACAGTCTTGTCCTCTCTTATTCTCAAAAATCTCGGAAAACGAAGTGAAATGCCTTTTTCAGGATCCACCTAAACAAAAATTGTAAAGAGAATACAATTATTCCTGGACCTATATAATAGCAGCTATATTTCAATGAGCCCAATCAAAGATTTTAATAGAAACGGTGTATGCTCCTTGGTATATAACAAACCAGATATTACATCAAAACCTGCATATCCCAACAGTCCAAGAGATAATACAAAAAAGAATTCAAAAACACTATGAGAAACTGGAAGCACACACCAGTAACATTTTACAACTACTAGTGCAAAAAAGAAGAACACAAAATGGCCAGCAGATCTGAAGCCTCATTAGGACAATACGAGACTAACAAGTTCCAGTCACCAAAATAGCTTATAGAGTTAAAATTATAATTGCTATTTAATTAAAAAAAAGTATTTGACATAAAACTTACAATGCCTATTGCTGCTTTATGGACGGGAGACACAGACAAATCGGCACATTTAATTTCCCACACTTGTACAGCATCAAACCAATGATCCGGCTCCAAAGAACTGTCAAATCTATAATAAGATTTTGGTTGGGAAATTATATGACTTTTCAAGAATTCTGAGTGAGTTGACAGGTTTTCGTCACTAAATCCTGTTCCAATCTAAAAAAAAAAAATATGGATATAATAAGATGTTAATATCAAAGAGGTAAAAAAGACTTTTACCTTGCAAATGCTTTGAAATTCTTCACTCTCCTTATCATAACAAGCCAATAGAAACCCTCCATAATGTCCTGTACGTTTGCCTTTCCCTATATAACCACCAATAACGACTACATCTATAGTATCGCCGACACCATCTAAATAATCTTTTTTTAATTTTAGCCAGTTACGAGATCTTTTCGCTATTTCATAAGTGGCATCTTTTTCGAGAGTTTTCACCATTAAACCCTCACAATTACCTAAAAAAAGGAATAAAAAGTATGACATCAGCAACAACTAAACTAAATACAGTAGATCAACTAGACAATAATAGTGTTTTAATAAAACTAGTCATACCTTTTATGCTGTCATCTAAAAATTCTTGAACTTCTTCCATTTTGCTGGTGTCAAGATGTTTTGCAAATATCCATTCGCCTTCTACCTCTTTAAAGTGTTTTTGTAAAAGTTCTCTGCGTTTTTTAAAGGGTTCCCTAACTAAAGATTCGCCATTGAAATATAACAAGTCGAACATGAAAACACACACTTGTACTTTTATATCCTTCTCATTTGCATCCTAAAATATCAAATATGGTTTAGAGCTCTATTTATCAATATACTATAGTCATGATGGTGGGTGAGGTTTTCCTCACCTGTAAGTCAAATGGCACCATCAATCATCTTTAAGTCGCCTCGCGCCATGGCAAATAATAATAATAACCGTCCCTTCCTCTACACAAGTCGTTCAGTCGACTTCAGGGGTTGAAATTCACTCGTAAGGGAGTGAATTAGAGAGAGTATTATTATTATTATTATTATAGTAGTGTTGATAAAATAAATAAGTAAATGAGGACAGAATGGCGGAATATGGATAATAACGGTTTTCTAACAATATAAAATTTAGAGGACAATTGGAGCAGTAGCGATGCGTTTATGGGCATTATTTTTAACAGACTTCAAAAAAGGAGGAGGTTATCAATTCGTCGCGATATTTTTTTTTTTTTTATGTATGTTCAGCGATTATTCTTTAACACGGTGTCCGATTTCAATGATTCTTTTTTTGTTAGAAAGGGGCTACTTCAGGGGTGGTCCCGTATAATAATTGGGTCCATGAGAAAATCCTCAAACTCTTCATTTTTTATGTATGTTTAGCGATAATGCTTTACCACCTTGTCCGATTTATATTAATCTTTTTTTGTTAGAAAGGGGGTACCTCAGGGGTAGTCCCATATCAATTTGGTTAAGATGTGGTGATGGCATCTGCACGTTTTTGAAGTCGGTTTTTTTAAATTTTAAATAAAATCTCTTGTCTCATATATGCATAGTAGGAGTACTATGTGTTATCAAAAAAATCCACTTTAAACCTCTAGAAACAAAACTTGATCTTAGAGCGAAATAATATAGACCCCTAAAGTTATCTTTTAAAACTATTGAAGTGTATTATTTTGTATTACTTACCTTCCTTTTTCTTGTACTAAGAACTTGAAACGGCAAAATTTGTTTTTGTTCTCTATCCCAAGCCACGACTTCACTATCAATTATACAAGTCTTTATATCATCAGTTTTGCAATTTTCTAATCTATTTATGATATCTGGATACTTTGATGTATTATTCTCTTGGTTTCTGCTAAAAATACTGACTTTTTTATCATCAATATGAATCTAAAAAACAAAAATTATTTATTTAAAATACTATCCTACCTTATACAATACCGTAGAAATAACTAAAGCCGCAAAGTCATATCGCACCATCAATACAATTCTAACGCAACTCAAAAAAATCGCAAAAAACATTCTAATTAGACTTAGTACTCGACTTGAACACCGTAGCGCATAGGAACTCAATACTCTATCTCTGCGCTGACTAGGATGACAAACATTTTTTTAATACTGATAATTTGATTGGTTCTAGATGGTTTTATTAAATTATGATTTATTGTTAAATATAGACGAATATTTTGTGGAATCATATTATTTATCGATTCTTTACAAGAATCCATTTTAATTTATAGTAAATCTCAATAACTAAAAAATGTATGGACAATTAATTAGTTCGACAGAATTCTTCACTTATTTAAAATAATAATATTAACCCGTTCACCAAATATGAACTGTGATTGGTGGATTTCATATCCATACAGTCTTTTTAAGAATGGATATGAAATTAAAGGATGGGGCAGATAAATGAGCGATTTTGAAAAGTCTGTAAAAAAGAAGAAAATCAAACAAAAGCAGGCGTCGACTTCTAAAGCAAGGATTCAAGTTTCGGTATAATCGTTTTGTTTTTCTTTTTTATTTTTTTTATACTTATGTTTAATTTTATTATGATAATACTCGTATTCACATTTGTCTTATGTTCACATTTATCTTATGTTCACATTTGTCTTGTATTCACATTTTTTATCTTATATTGACATTTGTCAATTATTAGTAAAAGAAAAAATATCTAGGTACGTGTAGGTAAAGGTTAAATCTGTGTTCGCTGGAACCATTTTTCAAAAATTTTATCTAAATTTTCAAAAAAGAAAAATGGTGAAGTCGTTAAAATAGTCGAAAGTTACGATTTTTTTCATAAAAATTAATACATATTTTGGAAAAGTGGCTCTATTCCTAGAAACATGTATAATTTTTTTCTTTCACTAAAAATAAATACTGAAAGTGTAGTACCTACTACCAGAAGTGTGCTTGGCTATAGGTATTTCGTATTAGTTAGAGACAATTGCCAAGATAAATTCGCCATTTATACAGTGGGTCATAAAAGGAATCATAAAATTAATAAAACTCCTGTTTAAAATTTAGGTAAAATCGCAAAACCATATCAATTATTAGGTATTCATTTATTTCTTCTTATATTTCACAGAGCTGGGACGCCATTAATATTTTTTCTATACCCACATCTATTCTATGCACAGACTACAGAACAAAAAAGTAGGCAATTTCGTTCTACTGAACCGATATATTTTATATCCATTCTAATAAAAACACTGTACTGATATGAAATCCACCAATCACAGTTTATGTTTAATCAACATTATTTTTTAAAATTATAAATAAGAGGAAACTCTGTCAAACTGTCAGAATATTTTTTAGTTTTTGAGATAAAATATAATTAAAAATGATAAATAACAGCATTCCATAAGATATTCGTCTATATTTAATAAACCTATCTAAAACCAATTTAATTAAGTAAAAGTATAAAAAAACTAGTTGCCTCTTTTAGCGCAGTTGTATAGTATTGATGTCAAGCAAAAGGTCTAGGGTTAAAATTCAGGATTGAGGACTAATTATATATTTTTTCAATTTTATTTAATTTTATAAATTAGTACAATTTTTTATATTAATAACCTCTAAATGTATTTTTAAAATTTTGTAAATTTTCGTTAGTGGGTCGCAGAAAAAATATACCCTCATCAGCCGCCTAAATAATGACAGTCACTACACAATAGCATATGCAGATGACCTGGTCATTCTGCAAACAGGGAATTTTGAAAACATACTCTGCGAAAGAATGCAAGTAGCCATCAAAATTATAGAACAGTGGTGTAATGACCATTCACTGTCTATCAATCCTACGAAGACTGAAAAGGAAAAGGATTAAAATGGAATTAAAACCCCCAGAACTTCTAAACACAAAACTAAACTTTGCAACAGTACTTAGGTCTCACCTTTGACAGCAAGTTAACATGGAACTCGCATTTATAAAACAAAGTCAAAAGAGCATACATTGCTTATGAACAATGCCGCCGAACCGTGGGGCGCACCTGGGGTTTCTCCCCCAGAGTCGTCGCATGGACTTACACGGCTACATAATACCTATACTAACATACGGTGCAGTTGTCTGGGTACCAAAAACCCAAAAATTAACAGCTATCCGTAAACTAGAACAAATTCAAAGAACAGCATGTCTCAATATAACAGGAGCCATGAAAACAACACCGACTAGAGCCATGGAAGTCATTCTTAGTCTCACTCACCTTGATATTTACATCAAGGAGGTTGCTCTGACGAAAATGACACACCTCCGTACAGTCGGAATAGAACCTGTTATAGGATCTGGTGCGGCGAAACGTCACTTTTGGCAGGAGGCGCTCGATATGCTCCCACTGCTTCAAGCGAACATGGACTCCATCTCACCGAAATATATTTCATAAGCCATATAAAGTTATAATAGAACAAATAGAAGAGCCGGAAGTGGCAGGTACGATTCATATCTACTCCGACGGTTCTAAAACAAAACAAGGCTGAGGATGTACAATTTACTCGAGATCCTTTAACCTTAACATAAAATGGGCTGTGAGCAATAGTGCCAGTGTAGTTCAAACAGAGCTCACGGAGATTCTCATAGCAGCAAAAGAAATCACCAGAAACAATATCACTGGAAGGAACATGCTCATCTATACAGATAGCAGACAAGCACTACTCACCCTGAACAGACCACGAATTTATTCAGGGTTAGTACTAGAATGTCACGAAGTTTTGGCCGAAGTATCCATCAACAACGTGGTCACCTTAAGATGGCTTAAAGGTCATGCCACATTGAAAGGTAACCGTCTTGCTGATTCACTGGCCAAGAAAGCAGCCAACCAAATACTCTTTGGACCTGGCCCTTCTATTGGCCTGAGAAAATCGGTAGTGATAGACCTAATTAAAGAACATTCCCTTGTGAAATTCAAGGAAAGATGGGATGAAACAAGAAACTGCAGAGTTGCCGGATAGCTTTTAAGTTATCCTGACAACACTGCAGCAAACAAATACTGTGACTAGACAGAATCTGCGCCTAGTCACAGGCATTCTGACTGGTCATTGCCAAGTACAGAAGCATCTCCATATCATGGGGCTATCAGAATCCGCAGAGGGTGTGAACAAGAAGATGAGACCATCGAGCATATCCTCTACGATTGCTCGACGCTCTCATTTATTAGGAAATTTGTGTTCGGCGAGTATCGGCTATCAGACTTCATCTTTGTGGTTATAATATCCACCTGTGCTACAAAAACTACTATTTTAAATGGGACTCCCGATATTTTAAGTATATTATAAAAAGTTAACTTCTTCAAGTACAATTCCAGTACCTAGTTATCAATAATTCTCAAGCAGTTTTAAACAAAATTAAACAATATCGTCGCAGCTCCGTGAAATAAGACAACGAAATTATTAAAGAAATCAATTCAAAATTTTACTTGGGTTTGCATTTTTGCCAAAATTTAATTTTACAGGTTTTATTAATTTTATCAGTTTATTTTGGGACACCCAGTATATCTACTTTCTTATAAAACGTTCATACATATCTGATCTAAAAATACCTATCCTATTAGTTAAATATTGAATCAAAAACGAACAAAAAATGTTCTTTTATAACTTTTCTTTCAAAGATTGAGGGATTTTTATTTACAACAAAATCAAATTAAAATCAAACTAAACGCAATCAATTCACAACAAATTCGTTAATTTATTTTACCCATCCACAAAATTATTTGCAAACGATACATATACAAATCGCCACACACCCTGACAATGCCATATTTTATGCTTAAAATATATACTCATTCATCTTCTGGTTGGACTTTAAATTATCAAAACTATATTCCAAACACAATGTGTCTGAATCGGTCCGAATCTCTTGGTCTTTGATCTATCTATCTATGATTGTCTGAACTAAAATGTGGGTAAAGTAGGTTTGGCCGTGTATATGGTTAGGTTGAAAATGAGTGAGATGATCTCATTGCCTTCCACTGCAACCCAGATGGGTCTATTGTGGCTCATGACTAACTTATAGTTCACCGTACAAGCCACACTTTTTGATGAAAACCATGGTTGAATTGGGTGAGACTTGTTTAAAGTCGGTAGCCTCCAGTCGGATAAATCCGAAGATCTGGAACCTGGTTCTTTCCAGAGCGGGGCAGGTACATAGTGCTCTGCAGACTCGTCCTCCACGCTGCAGAATCGACAGTTCGATGTTTGTTGCAGACCTATCCTTCTCATGTGGTTTCCCAGACGGTAGTGTCCTGTCATCAGTCCCGTGAAAATGCGTAGATCTTTCCTACTCCATTCTCGGATATGAGCAGAGGCGTCCATAGAAGGGTTGGTTATAAACGCCTTCGAATGATTTAGCCCTGGGGTATCTCTCCAGTTCGTGAGTGTTGCATCCTCCGTCCATTTTGAGATAATTCCTTTGGCAGTGCTCTTTGCAATGCCCAGAAATGGTTCTTGTCCTATGAACACAGATTCGGTTCCTCTTTTGGCGAGCGCGTCGGCTTTTACGTTGCCCTCCACACCACTGTGTCCCAGAACCCAGATCAAAGTAACTTTGTTCCAGGAACCGAGACATTCAAGGGTATTTATACCAGGGTTCGAAAATATGATATTTATATAAATATCATATCACATGATATATATCGGATATATATCCGATATATATCAATTTTAAAATTTAATTATTTAATTAAAAAACAGTATTGTTTCTTGCACAAACTATATTTTAAATTTTAACACAAACAAAACCGTTTATTCTAACTCAAATTAAAAAGAAAAACAAAAATAATTAATAAAATAAACAGATTTTAACATTAATATTTTAACACAAATACATATAAATTGCTATATAGTTATTATACAGGGGCGTATTGAGACATTTGCGGATGTTTAGAATAGTGGAAAACATTTTTAATTTAATAATGAATAAAATTATCGAATATATCGGATATACAAGGTTTTTCAAAAAGATTGGTCATAAATTATACCACATATTCTTGGGTCAAAAATAGGTTGATTAAACCGTACTTACCTATATACAAAAGTGGGTGCCTCTTCCTCGGTATTATTAGTTATGGTATTCTAACACGTCATATAAAATTTCATGAAAAAATGTCAAACTGTTTAAGAGCAACGTTAAAAAAAATCATTTAAATTTTTAGCTTATACACCCTGTAACTATTTTTGGGTGCACTTTTGTATATAGGTAAGTACGGTTTAATCAACATATTTTTGACCCAAGGATATGTGGTATAATTTATGACCAATATTTTTGAAACACCTTGTATATCAAGGTATAAATATCATGATATATCGTCGTTGTCGCGGTGAAACCTCCTTTGTACATTTCATCAAAATTTTCAGTAGATATAAAAACGTAACAATTTTGTTCTGATGCCTTATACGTATTACGCACAAGGGAGGTCTAAAATCACAATATTTTAAAAGAAAATTACATGGAGGTTTCGCTAAACTGTACAGAATATTAGTTTCTATGAACTGGTACAAAAATCTGAAAATGTGATAAAATATCACATAGAAGGTTTCACCGCGGCAACAACGATATATCCTCCGAACCCCAGGGGGATATCGCGCATGGTGTCATGGCGGCGTTGACGTCATGCGTAGAGTTGACGTGAAATAAATATCATATGACAGACGTATGTTGCAGTAGTTTGTGAGTCGTTTATAGTGATTTATAAGATATTAAACAGATATTTGAATTATATTATGTTGTAAACTTTGTTCTCTGTGAGTGGTTTTAGTAAAAAACATTGAAAACTTGCGGTACGGATGTAACAGTGACAATTAAAGCAAACGATTCAAGAAAGATATTATGGTTTTTCGCTTTCCTCGACAGTAAGAGCTTAATCAGAAGTTTAGAAAATTCTTAAATTCCATGAGCCTTAAAAAAAATGCTAAATAGTCAATTCTATCCTTCTTCCCAAGAAAATTGGTGCAGCCCTTGCAGTGGCTTGTAACCCTGCAAATAAATGTTCATATTTATTTATTTATTTATTTTTAACCAAACAGACAAAGGCCTTATTACATGGTTAATACAAATCGATACGTATTATCCTATTTAACATTTATTTTATCTAAGAATATGTATTCCAAACACTTTTAACCTTCCAATTATAAGAGGTATCTCAAATCAGAAATTGGTTCATTGGTTCATTCGCAACTTGGAACTTATAAACCCTTTGAAGGCTAAAAATTTTGCAATATAAGAAAAAGAGAAATTGCAAATGTCGCAAAAAAAGAAAATTTCGACGTGATGAATGAATTAAAAAAACTGTCAGCGACTATGTCCAGGAAAATTGTAGTGACATTTTATTTTAATTTTGTATATGCACCCACAATGTTATGTAGCTGTTATTTGTATTTTATACATTTTTTTATGCTTTACATATGAATGTCTGCATTATATTATATGAAAACACATATTTTTAAAACTTATTTTTATTAAATTGGGTAATATAATGTAGGTAAGTAAATAAGTAAAAAGATAAAATTGTCCGGCATCTCCAGATGCGAAATTGTTACCAGGATCCCCAGTTTCGACTTGCGAAGATACCCTTTTTATTATCCTGGTTATAAAAACTATTCTTTAGAAGTCGAATTTGTATAACCAAAATAAATCATTAAAAAATAAAAGGAAAAAAACTGTTAAAATAAATACTTCTTTTATGTACGTATTTGCATTTATGTTCCTTTATAGTTCTTTCCTTAACTATCCTATAATAATATATATATAGATATTTGATGTAATTTTTAAAATAGTATCCTTAATATTCATGAAATTTCCTCACACTTCGTCAGTATTTTTAAATTCGCGCCTATAGAAACTCTACGCGTGACGTCATGCGCGTGGCCGTCCTATTTTTGACACTTTTGATATCCTACCTCTTATTTTTTATACCATGTCCGAACCCTGATTTATACAGTTCCAAACCAGCTTTCGAGTCAACTCGATTAGGGCTGCCTGGCTATCTGAAAAGATCTTTATAGTCTTGTTTAACTCTCTCGCTCCTAATTCTATAGCAATCATTTCTGCACCGCGTATATTATTTGAAGCTTGTATTTTAATCCCTAATTTTCTTCGTTATTACATCGATTTGAAAATTAGTTTCAACGTATTTGGTTATTAATAGAGTATTTGATTGACTCCTTGAAAAAATCATATTATTTATTTTATAATTGTTTAAACTTTTATTTTTATTATTCTCAAAGTTACACATTATATTGGCGTCAGCATCTGCTCTGATTTATTTCAGAAATGTCTACCAAATCTTAGCTCTTCATCTTTTATAGGTTTTAAATTCATTCGGAATGTAACCTAGCGCGAATGCGCAGCCATATACACCCTTCTTCTATGCGTCGTGTCTAACTTTAACGCATCTCGCGGCTTTTTTGTTCCTGTCAATATATAAATTATTAATTAAACATTACCTGTGCTCTTTCTCCATCGTACTTCCACTCACAAGTAAATTTCAACCCATCGAATCTTTGTAAAACTTCTTGAATGCCTTTAGTTGGATGCGCCAACATGGGTTTCAAGGGTATGCCAGGGGTTAGTTTACAATGCTGCGGTAGACTTTCTATGCCTGTACTTAATAATACTGGAATTATCTTATCATAACTAGGGCACTCGCTAGAAATAAAAATGCAATAAAAGGAATATATTTTAAATCAGGCTATTAAAGTATTGCTTTTAACTTTTTAACAATCTACAGCTATTTTGGAAAAAATATCTAAGGATTAATTAAGACACAAGACATCTAAACAGGTCAAATTTGAGCTTTCATTTTGTGATTTTTATTAATTTTCCAATGTAGGATTTAGCGTTTGTGTGTTTAAAAAATGAATTTATGGTTAGCTAAAGTTTGTTATTTGTTTAGAGTAAGTTTGTTTGCTGTTGGTTTAAAATAAATTTGTCAGTAGTCTTCAGCTTTTTGACATTTTAAAGTTAGAATGGAGGACATGAATATTCTTACTTCTAAAATAGGCATTTACTTAAATGGAACATATCCATTTATTATGGTCTAAGATCCGAAGTAAGGTCGACCTTCATCCATCTGTTTAACGGATGAAACTTTCTTTTTATTAAATAAAATATGTTTATTATCATACCGCAAATGTGTTGCCTAAGAAAATACAGTCATGACTATTTATTTTCATAAAGTAAAAAAAACGACACCCTGTAAAGTATTCCCCAGATGCTTCGACTATGTCCAAATTTTAATCAGTTCACTGCAAGATGGATTAAAGCTTAAGTTTAAAATTTGATGTTTTTCTCTTCATCCATTTTTGAGTTATCCTAGGTCCATTTTAGAGAAATCATGTATAGGAACAAAATTATAGAGAATGACATCACAAGCAACTTTTATCATGATTCCTATACTTTTCTTATCTTTATACAGAAAAAATGGCCGAGACTGTATTTTCTTAGGCAACCCATTTGCGGTATATTTATAAACATATTTTATTTAATAAAAAAAAAACTTTTATCCATTAAACAGATGGGTGAAGGTCGACCTTACTTATGGATCCTGTACAATTATTTTTACTTTCCTATCTGTATACAAATATAAGGAAAGTATAGGAATCATGATTTTTTTCGACCTTGATTTTTCGACGGATTTTTACGTTTTGAGGTCCCCTGGATCCGTTTTGGCTATTTTCGCGATGTTGTCTGTGTGTGTCTGTGTCACAGAAAAACACCAAATTTTAAAATTAAGCTTTGTTCCAGCGTCCAATGAACAGATTAGATTTTGGGCAGAGTCGGAACATCTGGGGGGGTACTTTATAGGTGGTCATTTTTATATTTTATGGAATATATCTGTTATTTACATTTGGGGAAGAAAATTCTTCAAATAAAAGTTACTTCTTATATTATTATCTAAAAATTTTGTTCCATACAAAATTTTCCTAAAATGGTCCGTATTCGAGAAATTTGACAAAATGTAAAAAATATTTTTTTATTAAAATTGTTCAAACAAAAGTTGTTTGTAATATAATTCTCTATAATTTTTATTCTATACATAATTTTTTTAAAATGGACCGTATTCGAGATATTTGAGAAAATGTGTAAATTTCGAAATTTGAAGAAAACTCAAAAACGGATAAAGAAAAAAACATTAAATTTTAAACTTAAGTTTTATTTCGGCCTGACGTGAAATGATTAGATTTTGGACAAAGTCGGAACATCTGGGAGGGTACTTTATGGGAGGCCGTTTTGATATTTTATGGAATATATGTTATTTATGTTTGGAGAAAAAAATTGTTCAAATAAAAGTTACTTCTAATATTATTATCTATAATTTTTACTTTATGTCAAAATTTCGTGAAATGGTCCGTATTCGAGAAATTTGACAAAATGTACAAAATGCTAAATTTTCTGAAAATTGTTGAACTAAAAGTTGTTTGCGATATCGATCTCTATAATTTTTGTTTATACATGATTTTTCTAAAATGGACCGTAATGGAAAAATTGTGGGAAAAGTGCTAAATTTAAATTTTTCAGTATTTTCGTTGTCAATGAATATAGAAAAATGTTTCGAGGTAGATGTATGTGGAAAATGAATATATTTAGTTTATCCTCTAAACATTTATAGATGTGCTGCAATAGGTTGTACAAAATAACCGGAAAAGCCTGTAATAACTAGATAGGAAAGTCATGTGTTGGACACATCAGATTTTTACAGTTATTCATGCATGTATAAACTTACCAATAGGCTGTTTTTAAAATAAGGCTAAAACGATCATATTCTGTTTTAAAAGAGTCTGCGCCCATTTCTTTAGCTCTGTTCAAAATCTTCGCTGGGTAATCTTGACCTGTTGGAGTCATAGCACAAGCCAAAGCTAAAGCTTGCAGCACAGATTGTTCTGCAAGACCTATTCTAAGCTTACCAGCTAGGGATCTTATTAAATATCTGGCCTCGGCGTCTTGACAAGCAACAAACATAGTTTGAATTTTTTCTACTTTCTTAGACTGGGATGTACTACCTTTAATTCAAATAAATATAATAAATTTATTTCTATAACAATAAATGACGATTGCATGGTATCAGTGATTAATTTACCGAGTGTTTACAAAAACTTACCTGTCATTTTGGCTATTTCTTTGAGTTTATCGAAAACGCTCTTTACCGTCAATCTTGCTGGTTTAAAAAGCATTTTTTGATTTGATTTTGACTTCTCAGCAACCAGGCCTAAATCTCCTGTTTCTTTAGAGTCACTTTTGACCTGAGCAAGTGTCCTTCCTGTAGACTGAGCTATTGCTTTCATTAAGCTTGTTTCTGCTATACCAAGTTCTATACCTAAGAAAAAAATATGAATACATTTTATTACAGGTTTTCTAATTAAAATAAAAAATCTAAGATACTTGTTTCCTAAAAATTAAAATAGATTAAAAAAACTACTTTAAAGAAAATTGTTTCACCTTGCTTCTATATAAATTAATCAAAATATTTAAATAATAATAATTATCTGTTGACAATTATTTATTAGTTGTCCATTAAAATGTGGTAATGGTTTTTGTAGTTTAAAGCTTTCATGTGGAAAATTGAAGCTTATTTGTTTTACAGTAAAATAGAGTGATAAGAGAATTGAATCTGTTATAAATGTTTGTTTGTGTGTATTATGAATAGGTATTCTGCATTGGAGTTGAATCTTAAGAGCGTTATCCAGTATACTCCTAACTCATTTCAAATATGCTAAATAATACGCGACGCGGTACCTCTCAGCCCAATTTGGCAATAACACGTGCACGATGTTTGTAGGATAGTTTCTCTGAGAGGCTAGCCGATCCTGGAGATATGGTCAATATCCTTGCAACTTTGCTAGGTAGTTATTATCTCGGCTAAGTCCAAATACATTTTTCGATTTTTAGTAATTCCAGATATACAAAAAAAATAAGCTCTGTAAAACAAATAGTTAAAAATAAACATTATATTTTTTAATAAAAATACGGCTACAGACTCGTTTTTTTTTTAATTTTGCTTCGTTGATATATTAAAAATACTTTTTTTATACAGCGTGATTCATAACTATTGGGACATAGGCTAAGGGTAGGTTATTTGGACCAAAATATGGCGATACGGCCAAATATACATTAATAAAATATTGCTGTGGAATAAGATACAGTGCGTTAAATAATAATAATAATCATAATAGACTATAATCTCACAGCAAAAATAATTCACTGACAAGAAATGACATATGTACCAGACACAATTATCTGACACTGTAAAGCACACTTTTCATAAATTAAATATTTTTTTAAATCCCCATCTGAGACTTGTGAACGGTTCAATTGCGTTTTTCTCGAAAACGGGTGCAATTATCATGTTTAAACAAAAGTACATAGAAATGATGTTTACATCATATTTTTTATTCAAAAACGCTAAAAAGTTTCGTCTAAAAAAGCTACCACTTAATTTCATCATCAGGAATCATTCACGTGACGTCCCTTGTAACAAAATGTGATTTAATACATAAAATAATATTTGTTGTCCAAAGATATGCCTCTGTGCCGATATTGATAACAATTCATAAATGTACATTGACGTTATCAGAAAAAAATTAAAAAAAAAATTCAATTTTAACGTCCTGTGTCTTATGCCACAGCAATATTTTATTAAGGTGTATTTGGTACTATCGCCATATTTTGGTTCAAATTATCTGTCCTTAGCCTATGTCTCAATAGTTATGAAATAAAATCTCATTAAAAAATAAGCCTGGAAACTTGGAATCAGAGCTGGGCAGAGTACTGCGTTAAAGTACTCATGAGCAGCTTTACAAAGCACTCATAAATATCTAAGTATGATTACTTATATGAGTAATCCTCAAAGCAAATGAGTACTTTTGCAAATTTTAAAGAGTACTCGTGAAAAATCGAGTAACGATTATGAGTACCTTATCTATTTTAAATGATTCTAGTTAGTACAAGCATTGTATTTAGATAAGATAGTAGAACACCCTTATGGACGTTTCATTGGAGGCAATTATGTCGCGACATCTGTTAGAACAAGTACAGAACTTCATAAAAATGCGCTAGCGCTTCCTCGATCATTAAGTATAGAATTTTATATACATAAAATTTTCTTAATTTTTAAATTCATTTGGGTAGACTGTCAAATTAAAATTAATATTTACCTGTTGTTACCAAATGGCTGTATCATCTTAGCTATGTAGGCCAATAAATTATAAAAAAAAAAAAAAAATTGTTCATATTCTCTAAAATGATGATAAATCGCAAATAAATGTTCATCAACCATAATTAAACTCGTTTATGTCATTCTTAAAACAAATATTCTGAATCGATTATTGGTCCATCTATTAGTAAATAGAGAAATTACGTTCGTTATTCAGTTTCGACAACCGTTCGATGGCTCCGTAGAAGACAAAATTATCAAATACATGACTTGGACACCACGGAGCTTGCTGCCTTCAACTGATACTGTCCATTGTCCTCCAACATAATTTGCATTGGTATTGTTCTACTAGTTGATCTAAATACAATGGTACAAGATATAAACAAAAAACGAGAGTATCACTTATCTTCTATAAATTGATTAGCATTAATGTGTGTGCCCAACTTTTCATTTTAATGTTAAAGTAAAGTAATAAAGGTATTAGGTAGAAGCAGATATACAGATAGAGAATATTCAACAGAACAGTCATATATTTTAAAACATGTTGCCATGATTCCGTCATTTGACATATTCTTATCTTTTCCTTCATGTATCTTTGTCCTCGATAAGTCGATAAAAAGTCAGAAAATATTATTATTATAATAATAATATCAGGTTGAAAGTACTTACGAGTACCAATTACTGAGTACTTTGAGTGCTCGAGTACAATTTACTTGAGTACTGCCCAGCTCTGCTTGAAATTACTTTTAAGTCAATTTTAGTACATGGATAGCGCTCTTAATTGAGCAACTAAAATATAGATTTTTCATAACTGTGTACTTGTCCAATAACAATGTTGTTAATAAAATATGAACATTCTGTGAAATTAAATTTTTTTATAATTTCTTAAAAAAATACTATTCGTATAATGTATTTTTATTTTGATTAGATATCATAAATAACATAAATAATTCAAAAAAGGAAATTATGAAAATGAGTGACATCAAAACACATAAAAGGTACCAGAAATTCAATAACATAAAACAAAACTGACAAAATAACAAAAAAGATGTCAAACAACAGTGATGTGAGAGAGTTAACTGCACTAAGCAGGTAAAATAAAGGGTATGTGGTGCAAAAACTGCCATTTGTACAGACTTCAGCTTACTACTCCACTTAGAAGACAGGTCCAGTAACTAATGTTCTGCTTTTCATTAGTAGAAAATGATGTTATATACAGATTGTGTTTTACAATAAATATAAGGTATGAAAGAGGCATCTATGTTGGTATTACAATCATAATTAATTTGAATATAATCTAATAGTAAATTAAAAAAAGAGATATACCTTCATAAGCAGGTGCTAATTTATTTAAACACAAATAAACACTTGGAAGCAAATCCTCTTGAGACAAAACAATAACAGATCTAAAATAATTGCTGAGAATTTCTATAATCTTTAATCTGGCTGATATATCTTCAATTTCTTCAAATGTTCTTGACAAAGCACTATATGGAACTCTAAAAATGTATTTTATTAAAATGTTGAAAGTATACTTATGAAAGTAACTTACTTTTCTTTATAACTCCATGTAGCATCCTCAATTGGATGATATTTAGATACAGCAGGTTTATAAATTGTCTTTTCTCCTTTCTCATTGTTCTTTGAGACATCAGATCTTACAAGGCCTAAAAAAACACTTGTTGTAATTAATGTATACTCAACAAAACTAATAAATTAAGAAGGTGTAGAATATTGATGCGAGCTTTAAAGAATCAGTTGTTTGGATGAACTGTTTCTAGAAATTTGAACAAAGTTATTTCTGGCAAGTCGCAGTTCACATCCCGAAACCATCGATTCCAAATTCAAATTCTTTATTGGTGTTAGGGACACTACAACACATATATATATATCAATTTACATTAAATATACGCAATGTATAACAGAGGTCAAACAAAAACATATTATAGTAGTACCAATCTGATGACAACCATACTGCAAGGATAGGAGTGGCATAGCTTTCAGGGTGGCAGTGCCACCCGGCGCCGATTTACAATAGTCCCTTCCAATCCTATTATTTTATAACCGAATTTTTCTAAGCTATTCTAAAAATATATGAAAAATAAATTAAAATGTTTTAAAAATATTTTTTTAACAGCCAAAATTCTCGCCATTTCAATATAAAGCGCGGCACAGGATCAAGTATAAATTTCTGACAAACAGTAGCGATGACTACAACTAATGCTTATTTTCTTTGACTCTTTGAGAAATGCCAACGTTTTTTTTTGCGTTTAGAACGATGCAATTGGATTTAAAAAAGAAAAGTTAGAAAAATTTGAATTTTTATTATTATTATTATTGTAGGCTTCCAATTTATTTAAAAATGCTAATAAAGCTTTGCAAACTGCCTTACAAATACGAGTTTAAGGAAATCAATGTAAATCTTCGGAATTAAGCAGAAAATTGGGGTATTGAAGCTACCAAAAATGTCCAAAAGAAATTTTGACGAACTTGCTGCAGATTCAAAATTTACAGTAGAAAAAAAAATTAAATCAAAAATAATTTTACCACCGAAATTTAAAAGAATTATCAACAATAGATGAGGTGGTTGATTTTATATTTTGTGAAAATCACAGGAGCTCATCAAACTTTCCCAATGTGTGTACTATTAATTTTCTGCCTGTAATTTCCGCTTCTACAAAATTATTATTTTTCAAACTGAACCTTAAGAAATAGTAATAGTCACGAAAATTTAAACAGTCTGGCTATTATCAAGTCAATAGGTTTTGTCCCCTTAAAGAGCTTGATTTTTGCCAAAAATTTCATGTTGATATTGTTTGTTTTTTTAATATTTCAACTCCCCTTAATCCCTCATTTTTATTCAATTTTTTTTCAGAATCAATAAGCTCCATCTCCTTAAAGAGATTGATTTTAAGTAAAAATTTCATAATGATATCACTTTTCATTTTTTTATGAATTTTTTTTAATTGCAATATCCATTTTTGATCATATTTTATCAAAATCAATACACTTTGTCCCCTTATAGAACTTGATTTTCCTGAAATTGTCAAGTAGATATTATTTTTTGTTTTTGACATATCATGCGAGGACAAAAAACGACATCGGATGGACGGACAAAGTAAACCTATAGAGATAATACTCTTCACAGACTACTGTGAGAAGAGTATAATAAGAATAATAGGTATATGAAAAGTTTATTTACCAAAATCAAGTTGGCCAGCTTCTACTTTAGGTTTATCTTGTCCATTTTTCTTTTTCTCTAAATCTGCTTTGGGGGATTTTTCTTTGGTTGGTGATGTTTCTAGTTTTGTTTTCCTTTTAGGAGATTCTTTTTTATCAACTAGTTTTTCCGATTTAGAGGAATCCTCTTGTATTTTCTGCTTCTTTGTCAAAGATTGCCTGGTAGTTTCTTTTTCATTTAGTTTTAAGTCTTGTCTACCAAATTACATAAAAAAATTATTAAACGAGTTATATTATCAACAGTAGCCAACTTACTCTTCTTGATCAGATGATTCATCACTACTTAACACCCTTGATCTTTTAGCCTTCTTTTTAACTCTAAAAAAACAACTATAAAGAAAACTTTTTCATTTCAAAATATACTACTAACCTAACCAAATTTGGAGAAGTACTTTCATTGATTTCTTCTTTATTGTTAACAGGAGATCTAAAAGTTAAGAAAATAACAAAAATTGTTAAACATTAAGTGGCAATATTACTTGCCTATCTCTTACATCTGTAGAAGGATCTGCAATAGTTTTAAGCTTTTCGTCTGTAGTTGGTATCCTATAAAATGAAAATTGAAAATTAAATTATCAGTGAGAAAGAATCATTACACATTTTTTACAGGTGAATGATTGATGTATCTTGTACAATCTTTTGGTTTTCTCTTCCAAGTTTTCGGCCAGGTTTTATGTTAATAACATTCTTTAACTGATTACTTTTTTTACAGTGCTTTTCGCAAATGGATATAAGTAAGATATTCTTATTATTAAGGCTATTAATTAAACATTTGTAAGGTAAACACCGAAAAATGGACATCTTTGAGTTTTAAGACAAAATGAACATACCCATTATCATTTTCGGTTTTATCGTTTTTTGCAGAAACTCTGCTAAAAAAGGATCTGAAAGGAAAGTTTTTATTAATATTGTGATATATTTAATCTCCAAATTATACTCACGTTATACTTTTTTGCATTGTTGAACATTTATTTTAAATGCGCGCCAAAATCATTGGCAAGCTGTCTTCTGTCCTTCTATCACTTAAAAAAATAAAGTGTTGCCAAACCTTTAATTATTTGTATAAGTGCAGCTGAAAATTAAATTCCGAACAATTCATATAATTCATTCAGTCAGATGAACTTTTTATTTAACTTATCCACGATTTTATATCAAATTGAGTAACATTAGAATGCTCAATTCAATTCAAAATAATTTAGAATACATTTTTTAGATTTTTCAGTCCTAAGTTTTATTTAAAAATACTCAAATATAAGTAATTTAATAAATTTGGCAACATTGCAACAACAATTTTTCGCGATGCTGATTTCAGCTTAGATACTTCTTTACTCCGATTCGTCGATTTGATAAGTATAACATAATTGATGTTGGCACCACTGTTGCAGTTGGTATTTATTTATTACCAGCATGACGCGTCTAGGTTATTTATCTTTTTTTTTTTGCGTTTATTTTTCATTTCTTTTCAAGCAGCGATGAGGGAAGCAAGGCGGAGAACAACTGGAAAGTTTGAGTATGGCATCGGTTTTTATCGGTAAGTATTTCTATAATTATCTCTTTCATCTTTAGGTTTTTTCATTTTAAATTGTTTCATTATTAATCATTTACTAATGTAAACTATTTGTTTAATAATATTTTTGATGTAGTATAAAATGATGAATTATTTGTCTCGTTCGTATGACTAGTGATTACAAACAATCGGAATAACTGATTTTCATATAAAGAATGTAAATAGTTTTATTATAGTTGTATTTATATCTCACTGAATAATTTTTTGGTCTTTATTTCAGTGAGACGGGAAAAATTTCATACTGCATATGTAGCAACACGTGAGACCAAATTAATATCAGGTGTGTAGGCAATTATTTACTTTTAAAACTTTGGTAATTGATAGTTTCTTTAAATTTTAACCATCAAGCATGTGATGTGAATGGATAATGAAGAAAGCCTTTAGGGCTGTAGTGTAACCCTGCTGGCTGGAAGCTAGAGCCTTGATGTTGTAGATTGACCAAGATCATAGCAGCAAGTGTGCCCATAAAAAGCTATTTAGATCTTGTATTTTATTTGTTCTGTAATTCGTAGTTTCATATTTTTTGCTTGTGGTCTTTTAATATGTATATTTGGAATAAATTATTGAAATTCAAAGAAGCTCATAGTAAGCAAATGATTTAACACATTAATAATATCCCATTTGGGATAAATTGGAGGATTTTGGGTCTATATACCTAGATTTCTTGCAGCATACTCGAAGCAGTTATTGCTACATAAGGTCCGGTAAAGGATCCTGAGGTGCGAAAATTCACAAAAATTTAAACACTCAAAAGTAACTAGCTTCTATAGTAAATTAAAAAAAAAAAAAAAAAATTATGGATGAAGCAGTATTTTTCGAAAAAAATTGAATTAAAAATTCCAATTTTACAGGTTATAATCACAAAACAATTACTCTGAATGACAGTTTCTGTCTAACAAATAACAAACGTTGCCAAGATGTGAATAAAATTATAAGGATTATTTAAAATTTATAAATTATGAGATTATAAAAGAGAAGTAATCAAAAATCATACATTTTTCGTTTGCTTCAAAAAGATAAGTACGGTAATAATCGTATATAAATTAATTTTAAAAATGCAGCTCAAAAAAAAACTACATACAAAAGTGAAATTAATTAAATCACTTAACATGTAATACGTAGACAACTTATTTTAAATTTTCTTTCACTCAAAACGAAATAATGTCTTCCCGTAGGGTGGCGGCTTCGCCGCCACCACAAAATTTTAACCCATACCTGGCTACGCCTACCGGCATAAACTCCAACGGCCTAGACACAGCTCAAATTGAAATGAAAAGTATCACATAACACATTATATTTTCACCTATAAGTTCTTTTCTTCTCATTCAAACAGAAATCTTAAACTTGGAAATTATCAGTGATAAAAATCAATGTTGCAAACTCGAGGACCCTATGTGTCAAGAACTGACAATTTCGTGAATCACTTTATTTTAGGTTTTATGGAAGGAAATGATAAAAAGTTAGGTTAAATCAGTCAAAATATTACATTTTATTATAATATAAATGAAAATAGCAAATGAAACGTATTCTTCCATATTTAATTTCAGTTAAAATATTATAAAAAGTAAGTTACTTCAATATATTAATGCTAAAATTATGAAATTCGCACCTCAGGATCCTTGACCAGAACCACCTATAAATAATGTAAAGATTATAATGTAAAAAATATATATAAAATACAAAAATAAGTAGATTTATGGGCCCTTAATGATTTTAAAAGAACCATTTTCATTTACAACAATAGTCTAACAAAATGGATAAATCTAATGGATGTTAAATTACATCATTCTTCGTGATGATTTTTATTAGACAAGCATATGACTGAATAGCTGTGTTGATAAAATTGTTCTGATTAAATTCTTGAAAAAAAAGTATTTTTTATATAACTAAGCATAACTAATTAGAATTTTAATTTTCAGATGCAACAAGATGAATTACAGTGATTTACACATGTGGATTTTGGTAAGTTACTGCCTATATCAATTTGTAATATAAACCATATCAATGTCTTAATTGCAAAACCTGTTGTCTAGATAATTTTTTTTTCACAGATCTGTGAAATACTTATGGTTGTGGATTTGAAAGGTCAATTGACTAAAATAGTTTTGATTATTTCAGATATTTTGTCTGAATTTGACCAGTCCATTGACCATCCCCAACACCTAAAATACCACTTCAGATTAGTTAGATCACATTTTTTTGCACCCTATAAAATTTATCATTATACACTTATGAAGTTTTACTGTTAATGTACTGATCCCAATAATTTATTCAAACATCAGAAATAGACACTAATGATAACTGACAATGAAGTTTAGGTTGACTTTTAAGCAATTTATATCTCAATTTAAGAGCACAAAGCAAAAACAAGCAAAGTCATTAAAAGTAAATTCTCTGTAAATTGAATTTTAAAATTTGAAACCAAAATACACTTAGAGCACGACTATTAAGAAAATTAGTTAGTAGCCATTTTGTGCCACATTTATTGGATATGTTAAAAGGGCTATGTCTTTGTTCTCCTTCCTCCAATGTTTTTGCTGCATTTGACCCTGACATTCATCATTTTTGCTGTTGAAGTCTTTTAAAAATAGAGTGGGGTGATATGACATTTGTTATTTTTTTTAAAAAACATTTTATGAAATCAAAAGAACATGTAAATAATATCCAAACCTTACCAATATATTTAAATATAAATAACACTATTTAAATTCTTTATGTAGATATTTGCACCAAACATGAAACATTGGCATGACAGTGCCATTCTCTTGTGTAAACATCATTAGAAATAATTTATTTAATTTGCCCTAATTTTAGTTTAATACCAATAACTGCCTAGTGGGTCTGTTATTGACAATGTTGTCAACGCATTTTAATTTTGATAGACGGGCAGCGCTTCAAATAGTTATGCGCTAGTTCAGTGTGATGTAATTTTGGTTCCACTGATATTTAATTCTAACCAAACTTTTAACATAAACATCAATAAATTTGACGTATATGTTTTTACTGTTTTTAGTTTATTTCTAAATATTGTTTACAGGTCATAAAAAATAGTTTAAAGGTATGTACCTAATTTGTAACTAAACGATTGAATATTTGATGCATGTTATCTACTTACGTTAGGAATATATTTATAAAAGTGAAGAAACGATATAATTTAGGTAAACAAAACGCACTCAAAAAATCTACTGTCACTTTAATTGTCAGTGGAACCATAAATACATCATCACTGAACTAGCGCATTGTAATGTCAACATTTTTATTAATTTCATTTGTACCAACGTGTTGTGAATTATCCGGTACATTCCTATACCGTTTTGGCCTGTTTTCATACACAGCAAAGCATAGAATAATGGTCAGAAAAGGGGAATATTCCTAATATTTTAATTTGATAATTGCTTTGCAAAATTATTCGTTTTTGGACATAACTACATATTCATTCTAATATGTACATGTATTTCAAAAACACCCCATGTACAAATCTTGTCAGAAACCTTTAAAATTTTTAATGGATTATACATGTTCATGATGATTTTTATTAGACAAGCATATGACTGAATAGCTGTGTTGATAAATTTATTCTGATTAAATTTAACAAATAAAAAATGTATTTTATTTAAACATAATCTAATTATAATTTTAATTTTCAGATGCAACAATGTGAGAGTAATCCAGTGATATGAATTTGGGTAAGTTCCTACATAATTTTTGGGTTTATTTGTAATTTATATTTTGTAGATAGACTTTATTATAAACAATATTCTCAATATTTTGTTAAACTAATGATTTTATTTAGAATATTTAAAAAGTATGGGATTGATAGGAAAATAAAATTATACAAACGTTTCTAAAGTATCTAGCTTATAAAAAAGATGGAATATATCCAGAAAGTGATCAGTGAGAATAATCTTTGATAGATTTGGAATTGTTGGACATGACCCAAGCAGAGATGTACAAAATATGCTTAATGTACAGTGTCACAATTTTATTGTACTAACAGTACAATCCAGCAGTGCACTTTGCATTTGCTGAAAGGACATGATGGGCGAAACACAATCTAACACAGCATCAGTGACCTGACGTCGCTCAATCCCTTTGTACAATTGTATAGCTCATACTGTATGACAATCTGGTGTACTGTATGGAGTTTTACTAGTATTTAGAACCCCTGCAAGTAAAACTAACCTAGGTTTAAAAGTACTTTGTAAATTATAAAGATTTCTATGGACTATTTAAAAAGTATAACTACTGTAGCTCATTTTTTATATTATTAAAATTGATTAATACTGGCCGAAAGAATCCGGTCTATAGCTCTTTGAGATTACCTCCAATAAAGATTTAAAATGACAAAATATTGAGAATGTAATAAAACTTAGATTTTGCAAACTAATTCTAGATGATGATAAAAATTACCGTCTGAAATATGGTGATTATAACCTATGGCTGCAATTTTTGCACTGATTTTATTTTTTAATCACTTAAATTGCCATCAAGAGAAATTATTGAACTAAAATATATATTTTTTTAGTTTTAAATCCAAAATGGATTTCAAGTTTAGCTGGTGCCTTGCCTCACTTTTGAAGATAGTTTAAAATCATGAAGTTATTTGGAATGATCTGTGACATTCATGAGGTAAATTTACATTTGTTTGTCACTCTCTTGTTTTGTACAAGTGTACTTAGTACTTCTCAACATGATGACTTTAGTTATCCCTGTCATAAATATAATAACATTGATGATAGTTACTTTCTGATTTATTGATAGATTCATTATTCATTGTTTTAATGTATTTTTACAATATACTTAATTAAAATTTTGTTTCAGATATACATAAAACCATTTGGAGATACTCCTTTTTTTTTCCAATCACCAGATGATGGAAATCCTTCAACTTGTTTTTGACAAATGCAAATACCTACAAACTTGTCAAACACAATGGAATTTTACCTCCTACAACAGGTTATTGAATATTTTGAAAATATAATTTCAAGAATTATAAAACCATACAAATATTTGACAAAAATAGAATGGATTTTTACTTCAAAAAATAATATTGGTGAGTTCTCATCTCAGTTGTTTTGATTTATATTTGCAGACTTAAGTGATTTGTTAGAATCCCAAAAATTGTTTGCCTGTGGTGCCTTTGTTTATTGGCCACTACCCACTTGAATGTCTGCAAGTCACCATCAATGTATATACAAGGTGATTCCAAAGTTGATACTTTGTATAGAAGTAATACAAATAAACAAATCAGAAAAAACAGGGCTTTAGATCTGGTGACCAAGCGCAACTGGTCTATTTTGACCAATACACCTATTTGGAAAGTAATGTGTATTTCTGGCTAAATTTATTTTAATTACTTCTATATACAATTAAAAAATTAGTATAAACTTGGAATTACTCTGTATTTGATAATAAACATCTATTATTTTATTCAAATTGACAAAATATTGAGAATTTATTAGATAAAACCAAAATTCACAAATTTTATATGATGATAAAAATTACCGTCTGAAATATAGTGATTATAAACCTATGGCTGCAATTTTTGCACTGATTTTATTTTTTTAATAACTTAAAATTAACATGTAGAAATGACATGTGCTAAAATATTTTTTGTTTTTTAAACAGTTTCAAGTCTGATGAAGTTTCTTGGAAAAACACCATTCACATTAAGCAGGTAATTTTACATTCTCGATTTCTAAAATTATTTGAACAAAGTTTCTGATCTTTCATCTTCAGAAACTTTCAACTGTTTATGTAAATTTAATTCAGATGTTAAAAAAATGATATTTAAAAAAAATTGTTGTCCTGTGGAACTTTGCTCATAACAATAAATAAAAGTTGGTAGCACATGATTAAATAGAGAATTAGCTGATTACTCAATAAACTTCTTTCTTCATTTTAATGTATGAATGAAATTATTATGTTTGCCACTCATTATTTTGTACAATGATATATTTTTAATTTAAATAATTTACCAACATGATGACCTTAGTTATCCCTGTCATAAATATATTATAATTGATGACAGTTATTTTCTGACTAATTAATTCATTATTTTTCCAAAATATTTTAAATATATATGCCTACAATTTTTTTTTTTTTTTAGATGTGACGTAAACACATGGAGCCAGAAGATTTTAATTCTTACACTAGTGACTCCTATCAGGTAATATTTTAATGATTTAGTTTACAAATTTTATACTGGAAATACTTTATATTCATTATTTTTCATAGTACTATACAATTTTTATTTTATTTTTAATTAATGAAACAAAAGTATTAGTTACCCCTTTGATGAATATGTTAAATTAATATACCGGAATTGGATGTTAATTAAATTTGCAAACTAGTTTCTCAATGATACAAATTCTCAGCACGTTGAGATCATAGTTCTATGTATTAATCTACATATGTTGTTTCTTTAATCAAAAGCATCTGAAATAATTTAATCTTTTTTGCTGCATGTCACTATAATCTGAAATTTAATAAACAAATTACCAAAGAATGACAAATTATTCAAAATATACACATTAAACTAAATTTTCTTGATAAAGGACTATTGAGTACTACTTTTAATTACACATGAATGATGCACATTTTTTAGTTAATAAATCATAATTCATGTTTGTATCTAAATCAAACTTAGTCTTTAAGTATTTTTTGTGCTTTGGGAATATATTTGAGGTTTTTATTTTAGTTTGTGTCATTTGATCTAGGGATTTTAACATACTTATTATTCTTTTTCACTTATGACTTACATTTTTAACAAAACATTTACTCCATTTCACGACAAATATCTGTTTAGAAGTTTTTAAAAACTTCTGCAGGGTTGTGAAAATGCGCCTTAGAGATGACGTTTTTCTGGAAAAAAATCAATACAGCAATTTAGCAAATCGAACATATAGTTCTAAAATACATACATAAAAATAATCAACCAAAAGTGATGACACCTAAAGTAGCAGGTCCAATTTTAACTAAAGTGAATTGAATAATTTGAAATGATTTAAGGTCCTAATAATCTATGTAAAAATTATCAAGACAAATTTACAACTAAGGAATACTTTATAATGATGATTCAATATATACGCTATTAAGAAGTGCTAAAACACTTGTGGTTACACACTTGCCCTCTCTGATTTGTACATATTTTGTAACACCGCTGTTTTTTTACTTTATTCTATACTAATGATTGTTCTATGCATTTTTTCAGTGTGCCTGTTACTGGAAGGACAATAGAATCAAAGTAAACCAGTAAAGAGTAGCATAGTTTAGTTCTGAAAATCCATCCTAATATGATAAAGGTATGTATCTATCTGATCCTGCTCCAAGTTAAAAGATCCGTATTAACCTAATTCACAAAGCACCTTATGTAAATTCTTATAGATAGAAACGTCATTACAGTGAGAGTTATGTGATATTCAGGTACTGTTATTTAATTATTTTAATCTTAATAAACTCTACTTCAAGATAATTCAAATCGTCCAACTCTACTTTTTCTGAAAATTTTTAAGGATTTACAAGTAACTGTTTAAAAATGCTTTGTGAATACTGATGATAGTGATACAGCCGGTTGCAAGAACATTCAATAAAATTTAAGGACCTATTAAATTTTGATCTTGACAAAGTGATCTGACTAAATGAGATACATTCCAAATTACTCAGTCTTGAACATTGTATAAGGTTAATGGGGTCTTAAATATTAATACCATGTACTTGTAAAGGGTTAGTAGCTAATTAATGTACTTTGTTCTTATGATGCTTTTAATATACGCTATGATCTAAATGATTACGTTATTATTTCTGAAACTTCACAATAAGAAATATTTATATTGAGAGAAACAAACAAATTTGACATTTGTTCTTTTTTTTTTTAAGATTTTCTAACATCCATTGGACCTACCACTCTACATTTAAGTGAAACTGAAAAATTACTTTTCGAAGGATTCTATGATACATGTAGTTTATGACTGGTCAACGATAAAAATGATAAAATTTAATTTTTTTTTTTTGTTTATCCATTAAAAAGAAAGTTACGAAAATGTATTTCACCAATTAAAAAATCACTCACCTTAACTATATAGATGTGACAGACATATCTGTAGAATAATATATGTTCTTTATTAACAGATTGTATTATCAATATAATAAACTTTTCTATTTTTAAAAAATTATTCCATTACTAGATACCCTTTTTCCTACAACGACGCCTAATTAAGCGACTAGAAATTAAGTTCTGCTGGTTATAAATTAGGACTGGGAGATTATCAAAATAATTATTTTCCCACCCGTAAGAATGACGAATTACTAATTCAATGCGCCACAAAATCTGAAAATCTTGTGGCACTTGCAGCAAAATGCCGCGTTTGAATATCCACATCGATGCATTTTTTACATCTCGAGCGTTTGTTTATCTACATCGGACACATCTTAGATTTCAAATTTAGGTTGATTTGTAGACTCAAAAGTCAAATTTAAAAAGTATAAATTTCTAACTTGTCATTTTATCACGTGAACAAAAAGGCCTAGAGCAGCCATACTCAACCTTTTTTTCTTCGGGCCACATTCGTATATTTTCTATGTTACACGGGCCACAATATTTTTTAAAAACAAATGAAGATACAAGTGGATGAAGGGCATATGTAACATTTTTTGAAAATGTGAATGTAGGGCTTATGTA